TTAATGTCTAATTGATTTATGTAACATTTCAGGCCTAAAGAGAGACGTGCAACAGGCAGATTTAGCTCTTGCATAATGTATGTTTAATATGATTAATACAATGACGTCATTATTAATATGACGTCATAATGTATGTTTAATACCTAGACATCTCTGAAAGTTAGGAAAATGATAAATTTTAAAACAATACCTTTGTGAGATCAACACAATGAAATTCTCATTTCGATGGCTATGTGCGTAACACGAGAGGGGAATTTTGTTCGGACAGCGGCGTTTCCGCCTGTTCTTCGAAATCCCACTACAAAAAGATATTTTAGGTGTATGGATCAACCGCGGATTTTCATCCCAACCGAATGGCTAGGCAAGCGTAGAATCGTATTCACGACTCCCATAGTTGACAGAGCCGTTAGGTGATTCGCTCACCTAACCCCACTACATCATTTGTTGTAATTAATGATATTAATTGCTGAATACTGGGAAAATGTGTTCATAAATTTGTTTTTAATTTTGGATAGTTAAGCTGATAGCAGTACAACCCACGGTATTTGATGTATTTTGATAGCCAACCAATTGAAGAATTAAAGTTTTCTAACGTTGTATTTGAGAAATATGGAGATTTGTTAGATTCAATAACTCTTTAGTATATTATAATTCCGCGTCACGGCTGAACGTGCTTGGTTTTTATTTAAAAATTTAATAAGAATATTGCTGACAGGACGTGCTTGGTTTTTATTTAAAATATTAATAAGAATATTGCTGACTGGACGTGCTTGGTTTTTATTTAAAATATTAATAAGAATATTGCTGACTGGACTTGGTTGGTTTCTATATAAATTAATAACAATAATGCCAGTCTGGATCATAAATAACTTATAAACTAAGTTGATTTTTTACGAAACAGAGAAACAGATATGATATATACGTCTCGAAATATGAGCTGGTTAATTTCATTAAGCATTAGGGAAACCAACGTGGCGTAACTTAGAGTTATCGTACCAGATAGCGTAACAATTCTAGCTGGTCTTCGTCCGCCAGTAAGACAAATTACCCTGCATTTATTCTCTTGAGTAGAACAGGCACGTAATATTAAATATTACGTTAACTATAACCAATACGTCATAGAATGAAATAGGGTTTAACGTCTTACTGTTCTGTACGGACTGGACTAATGAAGACTATATACGCCATACAGTGTGCTATGAGGGAAATTTTGTCCGGGCAGCGGCATTACAGCCTATTTTTTTATATTGAATTCCAACTGCGAAGGGTTCTTTTACGTGCTCGTCAATGTGTACACGGGAACTCGGTTTTTCGCCCTGAAAATTCCGGTGGACTTTCTTGGTCAACACAGGGATCGAACACGGGACTTTTAGGTTAGCGGGCCAATGCGGCTTCCGAAATACAGCATCTAAGCTAGAAAAAGACGTGTTTCGCTGATGTAACACTCGGGGACAGACCTCTGAATCAATAGATTCGTTTCTGTTTGGATCGGAATCGTCAATGGGGGAATGATTTCAAAGACGTTATATACTTATCCGCACCAACTGGGCTAATGAAGACGGAAGTCGTTAAAGTGTGGCTCGAGGGGTGCAAGGCTTAGTTTAATCTGGAAACATTCAAAATTCGAAGTTATCGATTCAGAAATTATCAATGTTCATAACAAAACCCAACACAAGGTATATATGGATATAACTACTTCTCTATTATTTAATAACCACGTTTCGTAACACATACAGGTCATGTTTTCAAGTTAATGATAAATATCCATCCAGTCAGTCTATTTATACATATTTTAGCTTACACCAACTTACACTATCAATGTTTCTTTTCGATTGAAGTATTATTGCTTTATCTAAAAGTGGAAATGAAATGGGGTGTTACGACTTATTTTTCCGCACAAAAACGAACTATTAAAGACGGTATGGCGATTATGAGAAATAATTGGAGCTAAAAATCCAGTTGTAGTCAGGTGTGTTATTACTGGCCAGAATATCGACTAAATATCATCTTGGGATTTAGTTTCGATATAGAAGAAGTCTCTGGACGTCACTTTCAATATTGTCAAGTTGAATCTCGAAAAGGAATGCCAGTCTAGAAATCTAATTAAAACACGGATCCTATTTCGTTTCGTTTTTTTATTGTTCAAAATTTCGTTTTGCTTGCCTTTACTACACTAGGATCTGGAAGAGTGGTTACATAACCCGCGTTCTGGCTGATGTGAGGGATTAGCCAATGAAACGGTCTGTTACGGTGAGTTCTTGGCGTGCGGTATCCCACTAGAAACATCAACGCTGATTGGTTAATCAAATAACTGACGTCATAGGTTAAAAGCCGCATATATGACCCCTGTCGTGACCTTCCACTGCAAACGATCAGAACTTAATGTAATGGAGGCCATCGAAAGTATAAAAAAAAACGAAACGAAATATGTATTTTAATCAGTCTAGATGTTAACAATCGCATCTTTAATCAAGTTCATAAGTTTATTGATATGTCAAACAGATTTTGATCTCTATCAATCAGTATTTTATTATCAATTTGTATGCATATCTTTGGCTTGTTTCTCTAAGTTATATTTATAGCACGGCTTTCATGAGTTAACAGGTTTAACCAGAGGCCGAAGGCCGAGGGGTTAAACCTGTTAACGAATGAAGCGTGCTATAAATGACTTGTAACATTGACAACTGCTCAACATGCTTAGTGTTATTGCACATAAAACCCACCCCACTTCTCTATATGATTTCTACTAAAACTAGTGTAAACCAGCAAAAGAGTGCAATAACATTGACCATGTCTAATTATTGCACGGTTAAGCTCCACCCAATCTACTAGAGGGAAAACAATCTGCTTATTCAACGAAAAGAACAAAGGAAGATTTCCCGTCCATGTTACATTATTGTTTAGTAGCATAATATAATACATGTTAGTATAACTATAGCCTATAATATATACTGTACATTTTTATCCATTTTATTATATTTATATAAGATATGAATATATGCTTGCCTTTTTAACTATGTGTATATCCAATCAAATTACTAAAATTTGGATTTTATCTTAGTTAAAATTTGGTGAAACAGGCCCCAGGTTTCACAAAACATTCTAAGACTTAAGTTAAGAATTTACTCTCAAAATTGTTCGCCTTATTTTAACTAAAACATAGCCCTTAATAAAACTTTTGTTTTTTTAATGTATCTAATACATAAATAAGAAACTATGTGCAAAGTTTTGTGTTTCTGGATCAAAGATATTTCTCATAAACAATGATTGAAAGTTGAGTAAATCCTTAACTGAAGTCTGAAAATGTTTGTGTGGAGTGGTCGTTAAACTCTCTCTCTCTCTCTCTCTCTCTCTCTGTGCCGTATTCGCGCATTAATACCGTTGGATGTCTCCCTTTAAAACATACCAATGCCCCACTGATAAAATAACATTGACATAAAGAGGCGGGGTCAAGTGTAAAAACACTAATTGTGTTAGATATAATCGATAGGCACAATTATAAATGTGCGTGTTTCTAGTTGCTGGGCCCCTTGAGACGTTTACCATCAATTACAGACTAACGACCCAATGCCTGTCGGTGCTTTTAAAACGCTCTGGTATCAAACCCAATATTTATTACAATAATATACATATAGAGAAACTAAATTATCTTTATTAATGATCGCAAGCTTAGGGGGAGTCTATTATTCAAGCTTCAGGGGGAGTTTATTATTCAAGTCTTATTTAATTATAGGAATCCAGTATTGGCATCTCTAATTTCTCTTATTTTATTACATTCAAATACTCGGGAATTTTTAATACATACGCATATACGAAAACTTAATTTACGATCGCTGAGTTTACAGCCTTTGACACAGGAATCAAATAAGTGTGAATTTTAATCCCTACACGTACAGCAAAATAACCCAATTTACGTTCGCAGAGTTCCGAGTTAAGTGAAGTCTAGTTTTATCGCAGGAATCAATTAATTTCAATCCATACGTATAGCTTAAGATTTGAGAAAAGTTAATTTACGATAGCGGAGCTTTTCAAACTTTGACATCCGAGATATTTGGACGATTAAATAGATTTATGGATAAGGTGAAATAAAATTGTTTATTCGATGTGCAAGAGAAAAACAAGCATTGATTGTAAGCTAGCTGGCAGTAAATGGAAATATCGGTTCTTTTTAGAACTTGAATAATGCTGCATTTATGTCTTTTTGCAGCTATTCATGGTAAGGTGGATTGGACTAATCGTTGTGTAAATTTGTCGAAGATGGCAACGGGATGATACCCGTTCAAGATGGGTATTGAGAACGTGTATCTGTTTTGTAGCTCAGTGTAGTTCGGGGATCTTTGACGTTCTCACAGTATTTTCTGCGAGATCTAAAATAATATAGTTACAAATAAATTATTAAAGACAGACACAGTAAGAATATTGACCACATGTCTCATGTCGTATATAAAGCAAGCCTTATATGTCACATTATTTTACATAATATAGTATATATGTATCACTTATGGTACACAATTTATTAAATAATACTCATGAAATGTTAACTTAACCTATTAGGATGTTTTCTTCTTGATCTTCTTTTTCGATTCCCCGGTTGTACATGACAAGCAGTAGGATAGCCTGTCCAACCTCGTGGGTTTTCTCGTCAACTCGACATAAATTAGGTCATTTCGGGACTAACATATGGATCAATTTTATTTCAATAATTCGCTTGCGCGTAGGGGTCTTTAGCGGGGGGGGGGCGAGGACTTGGAGATAACCCACGAAGGTTGGACAGGCGAACCTACTCCTTGTCACGTACGACTGGGGAATCGAAACCACACCAATTGACTCAATGACAGACCTTATGATAAAACGCGCACGTGCTAACCATTCGGTCCCCCCCCTCGTTTTAAAAAGAGTTATTAGGTATGTTAAAGGTAAGTATACCCTGTCCCGTACACAATACCAATATCTGACAAAGGATGGCTTAATGTATTTTATATCTTTATTCTATTTTACAGACTGATAATGGACTCCCGGTCGAGTGTCATAATTCTGTGGACACTGTTCGCATTGCTCCGCCTGGTCCATCTGGAGATATCCGAAGATAAACCGCACTGTCTCTTCCCGGATTATCTCCAAACAACGGAATCGAAACCCTGGGTTCTCAACCATACCATGACAATTGTCACATATTATGTAGTTGGGGATGAAATCACCGCTTACGACTGTCGCAAAGGTACGAAGAAATGTTCCACATATAGACGACAGTGTAGAACGAAGTTTGAAGATGATAGGTTCTTAGTGCAGCACATTGAATCAGATTTCACCGACAAATTTTTGTGCCTGAGGTTCATGCGCAGGAGCAAGAGTGTCATCCAAATCAGTACGTCACACATCAAAACGGGAATCACGAAACGTTATCTGTGTCGCGACCAATGGCTCTCACTGGATCCATGGCCCTGGATTTCATACGAAAATTCTATTTACGAAAGTGTCACGTGTCCATTTGCGGGAGGTTACAACTTCAAGTTGTTTTTCAATGGCGGATTAATGAGACGCAATCAGAAATGCATGGACGCCATCCCGCCGGTTCGGATTGAAAGTGACTGTACTGCAGGGGAAGGAGTGACGTTTCGATTTCGCAACAAAAATTGTTTGCATAGTGAGGGAAATCTGGACCTTCTGCAGGAAACAAAGTGTATTGCTACGTGGGAGCAAGATGGCGACATGTACGCCATCTTGCGCAAAAACAACGACAGGTATTATTGGTGTATACGTGTTGTGACGTCAGAAAGTGGCGATGTTTCGCGGATATATGTTTTTTTAGATATGGTTTGTAAACACGGTCGCATAAACGGTATTAACGATAAATATCTACAGTTAGACAGTCTAGAAAAACGCAACGTAACAAACGTGTGTGCGGACGAGTTCCACGGGTGCGAGATTATGGGTGAATTCTGCGAGACTGAGGTGAAAGACGTGTGTCCGCGAACGTGTGGCCAATGTAATTCAAATGACACCATGAGGTATTGTTCCTTCCCACCCTCCATACGTGGTAAATGGGTTAAAAGCACACTGAGCGGAAACCTGAACATTGAAATTAGTAAATCCAATATGGTGCTTCCACACTTAGGAGAGTTTCGTTGTGTTACGTTCAATTCTACCGCGCTGCCTCTACGGAGAGTTTTATTACAAGAATTTACTAACGGGTGCTATCCTCGCTTCACGTGCTTCCATTATGACACGCCATCGCCGGCCGTGATGAGATTTAGAACCAGCTCAATATTACAATGGCCCGTTTATTTATCCGATGCTAGAATCTGTGACAATGAAAATTTTAAGCATCTTGCTGACCCGAGATTACCGATGAAGGTGGTGCACCCGTTTCCGCTTGAAAGTGTTGTGCGGGAGTCGGAAAGAGTTAATCGCGTGCTGTGCAACTTACCACTGTCTATGCAAAAAGTGAGTTCATTCACAGACGATCTAGGCGGAAGTGGCTGTATCGTGCACGGGACGGATTCAGCTCCGCGGCGAATTTTTCTTTCTTATTTGAATGGCGGAGACGTGGTGGATACCGTCACTTACAACTGTGTAGGATCACTGACTTACATATCAAGTCATAAGTCTATTATCATATCAGCAGAGAATACCACAAAACAGGACTATCTCTGTTGGATTGTTGTCAGTAAGAATGAAATTATACAGGTGCCCGCCGCCTCATGTAATACATTAACTGCTAATTTAATTGTCCAGGGAGACCGGGAATATTCAGAACTCTTAATGAAGAAATTTTTCTTACATAACGCAACGTCTGGCTGTATTTCAGACGTTAGGACACGGGCGTATTTAGCTCAAGACTGGAAGGTGCCGCCACCATTTCAACAAATTCTATCTAATTCTTCTTGCTTGTTGTATCATTCTTTATATTTTGTTATTTTGATTATACATTTGTTATTTTATTCGTAAACGTCAATGGCCTTTTAATAAATGTTTGCTTTTTTTTGTAGTTTATGCGTTCAGTTCCGCAGGACGGAGGGGCTGACAAGGAAAGCTGTCTAGTCGTTCGGGTGGGACCAAAAACCGAGGGCCCGTGTACACATTGGCGTGCACGTAAAAGATCCCTTGGCAGTTGGAATTCGATATAAGAGTAGGCCGTAGAGCCGCTGTCCGGGCAAAATTTCCCTCATAGCACACTGTATGGCATATGCCCGTCTTCATTAGCCCAGTATAGGAGCAGAGCAGTAGGACGTTAAACTCCATTTCATTTCATTTCATTTCATGCGTTCAGTTCCATATTAAATGCACACGAGAGAATTCACACTGATCTGCAGTGAATATTCGCTAGTCCTCTACAGTCACTGATAGGGATGACATCGGTCCTGTTAATGAACCCCAATCTGATAAAACACAGATCCTATTTCGTTTCGTTTTTTATAGTTCAGAATTTCGTTTTACTTGTCATTACTACACTAAAATCCGGAAGAGTTGTTATATAACCGGCGTTTTGGTTGAAGTGAGGGATAAGCCAATGAAACGGTCTGTTATGGCGACTTCTTGGCGTACCATGCACCGAACTGTGGGTGTTGAACCACTAGAAACGTCAACGCTGATTGATTAATCAATGTCTGACGACACAGGGTCAAAAGCCGCTCGTGCGACCTCTGACAAGACCTTCGAGTACAACTTGTCAGATCTTCATGTAGTGTAGGCCATCGAAAGTGTAAAAAAACGAAACGAAATATAGATCAGTATTTTAATCAGATTGAATGAGCCCCAAATTTTAACGTTTTTTCCTTCTGCAAATTAAATTCTAGAAAAAATTTTTTACGCATTAGAAAAATAAATAAAGGTGTTTGAAGTATATGTAGGTAAAAAAAAGTTTCCTATTTGATGTAAATGAGTAAAAGGTGCCATTCTGCCCGGACGAGTAGCGTCTTATGCAAACAATGCACGCGCCATTAAACCAATGATTGACGCCGCGTGATGTGACGTCACATGATAGAGCAGTCATCTTTTACAGAGCTATTAGTCCTTGCAATACCTCTGTGAAACCGATTGGAGAGAATCCTGAACCAGGAACCCAGAATGACGTCATAGCAGCAATCTGGAAATTGTGACGCCATATCAGAACTAGAAGTTCGTTTATTGATATGCATTGTACAAGAACAAGCATGCCAAGTTTCCAGCCGATCGTACTCGAATTGGCGGGGTCTTAGGCTTTTGTCGAAGAGCATCGCCCCATTAATCTGGTCTGCCCTCTGTTTGGCCCCCCCCCCCCCAATAATTTTAGAAAATAAAAAAAAGTATTTGTGATACGTTTCGGTAATCAATACCTTCTACGGTGAATAAATCCCACATTCCCACTCAGTCATAAACTTGCATGTTGTAGAGCATTTCCGACAGTCTATTTTTCAAAATTTTCTTGGCGAGGTCCCCAACGGACTCGCTACTTTGGCGCTCGCACGGGGAATTCGTTGAGGTTCGCAAGTCCGTTCGTTTGACATTTTGTTCTCGAGTCGGATAAACTAGTGATCAGGCGACGGACGGTATCTGGTCAGACCTATTTATCTCGACGATCGGTGCCTGACAGAATACTGTAAGACAGCATTTCCGGCAGTCTATTTATCAAAATTTTCTAGGGGAGGACTCCCTACTTTGACGCTCTTAAGTGGGCTTCGTCGTGATTCGCAAGTCCGTTCGTTTGACACTTTACCTCATGGATCAGCGCCTGAAATGCTGCCAGGCTGCATTTCCGGCAATCTGTTTTTCAAAATTTTCTGGGGGAGGCCCCTGCCCCTAGTTGAAGCTCGTGCCTTTGCCTCCTTAACCTTGGACTTTGTCCCAGCTTTGCGCCTCCAATCACCGACGGCTGGCGCCGCCACTGATCGCCCCACAAAACAAGAAGATTGCCAAGCGTATGTAGTCGGTTCATGGTTCAACCCCCATCCCCATAGCATCACTGGGCCTTGCATATAACACCCCCCCCCCCCCATAAAAAAAACAACAACAAAAAAAACACAAAACAATTTATATGGAATACAATCACTGGTTTATAAAAAAATATAGGACGACGTTTCGACAAGTAGTATTAACCTTTTCTAATTCTGGCCAGTCGAATATTATTTTATTGAAAAAAAAAAATTGTATCTTTTCATTCATTTATTTAACATCAGATACAATAAGTGTCAATATATATCTTGATTGGGTTCATTCAGTGAGAGTGTGTGTGTGTGTGAGAGAGAGAGAGAGAGATAGGTGTTAAGGTCCAGTCCTCCCAAAAAGTCACATTTCGCTTGCACGTACGGGTTTTTGACTGTGGGAGGAACCCGGGTGACCTGGAGAGGCGATGCTACTAGCCGAGAGTCGAACCAACACCGCGTGACTCAATGACACACCTTGTGATCTAATATAGCGCGAAAACCACGAGGAATATACTCGCATCCAAGTAGCAGGGAAGGGAAATAACTCCATATTTATAGTAAATCGGTGTATTGATCTGTATATGGGGCTATTAAACCTACATCTATATATGAAATGAAAAGAAATGGGGTTTACCGTCCTACTGTTCTGCCCCTGTTATGAGGGAAATTTTGCACCACGGCCTACTCGTATATCGAATTCCATCTGACAAGGGATCTTTTATGTGCACGCCAATGTGTACACGGGACCTCGGTTTTTCGCCCCATCTGAACGACTGGACAGCTGTCCTTGTCAGGCCCTCCGTCCGGCATCACTGACAAGGGGGAACCACATAGGCGTACGAGCTGGGGGGCGGCTGCCCCCCCCCCCCATTTTGGGCACCAAATGCTGGGAAAATTTGGGCACACAATTGTACTTTGTAAAAGTTGTATAAAAAAAATATTTGTCTTCTTGAATGTGTCCAATTTAACAGCGAATTTATTATTATTATGTAACATACTAAGAACCTAACTACATTTTTTGGGCACCAACCACCACCGCCCCCCCCCCCCAATCAAAAATTTCCCCGTACGCCTATGGATGCCGGAAAATCTGGATGAACTTTCTCGGTCAATGCAGGGATCGAACACCCGATCTCCAGATCAAATAACACACTATTTATGGATAACAATTACGACGGTTTATTTCACTGCTACGTTTCAACAAGATTTCACAAGTATGCTTGATAACGACTGGTGTTACATGCTTGATAACGACTGGTGAAATCTTGTTGAAACATCGCAAAGTAATAAACCATAGTAATTGTTATCCATATATATAGAGGATATTTGTCGTTTTAGAGTGAATAACATATTTTATTTCATCTCTAAGCAAGAAAACGTTTATATTTTCACTCATGCTATATGCCATTTAAAGAATATACCCGACCTCCAGACTATCGAGCCAGTGTCTTAACCCCTTAGCCACCGTGATCCCCACATCTATTAGTAGTTATCATATCGTTATACGGGGCTAATATAAAATACACATACGCATACATCCATTGGTATGTTGGAATATTGATATTTACACATTCAGCCATTGATAACAATATATCAGTATATTTATTGACATACCAAACTTAAGCTGTCTGTCTACAGTTAGCTCCGTTTAAGAACAGACACTAAGCTAGTTGACCGACATTTTAAGTCCTAAATCGACGATTTTAGTCGAAAACACAAAGTAAACCTCGAGACTTTTGAGAAGTATTTATTCTGCTTCCATTTAATGGAATTGAATGGGTTTATTAAGTCTTTGTGTGTATGCCAGATGTGAAACAGAGTAGAACCGCATTACAAAACAATATACTAATTTTTGGATATGGCGGCCATTTAGGACAGAGATCTATTCTCAAAGTACGAAGCAGATAGATCTCTGTGTGCAGAATGATTTATTGACAGTTAAACTAAGTGGTAATAATTCATAAGTCACAAATGCCACAAGGAAAAACAAAACACAGAAAGTTTCCCATATGTTTTTTTTAAGGAGGAAAGACAATCCTAGTCAACCCATTACACAAACAGAAAGATAGCCTTCTTTCATTTCAATGTAAGAGACCCCCGTAGTCTGGCCCCGCCCTAGCGATACCACTGCGCAAATAATAGAAATATTGGTAACAACATTGTCAACTTCTGACTTATTTCACTGCTGCAGCAACTTCTCTAGAAGCAGTTGGCGACAGACGACAAACTTTGTCTGCTACACTGAGCTCAGTTCATAATAATAACTATCAAGATAACCGATGTGGCTAGAACAAATATAGTGGATAAATACAAAAACAGTTTATCCAACGCCTCACTTACAAGTTCCCATGTGATTTCTTTCTGATGCTTCTCGGCTTCCCTTCGCTTCACGGTAGCTCGTTTCATCAGCTTCGTCACCAGCAGGAGAGCTCTTGGAATGACACGTTCTGGTGGTCGATGGTGCACTCTGATGATGAACACGGTGAGCAGGACGGAACAGGTACTCAGACACAGAAGAGTGGAGAGATAGATAGTGAGCAAGGGTATGTTCGTGGACGTCGTAGGCAGCATTCCACTAACAATCGATATAAACACAGCTAAAGATAACAGCACTGTCAGTACGTAACTCAGCTTCTCACCCGAATCCACAGGTACGGCAAAAACAGCCACATTCAAAAATGACAAAACTAGCACTGGGAGGTACACGTTCAGCAGGATGAATGCTGGTCTTCGAGCCAAGATCAAAGTGACACTTACTTTGTACAAGGCTCTTGGATGGGCAGGTTCATCGAACTCTTGACCATCTGCCCGAACGATGACCCATTCGCCATGTTCTTGAACATCGCCCAATGGTATAATCGGATTGAGTTTTAGCCTGAGTTCTTTGTACGTGTATTCGACGGGAAGAATATAAACGGTGCATTTCTGGACATCGAAAGGGAACTTGGTCATATCCAGGTTGCAAAAGACGCTGAAGACGGCGGACGGTGCCCATGTAACGTTGCCGTCCGACTGTACGAGGTACGTGTGACTTTCATCAGAAAAAACATCGCGTTTATATATGGAGTTGATGATCATTATCCTGGGTTTCCATCGGACTTGGGGGCTGGGATGCATGAACTCAAGTCCTCCATAATCTGCTGGTTCCCAGGTGAGAAGTTCATCCTTCCACTGTAGGCTAAAGTGGGCATTTGTCACCATAATTTGTCCAACATCATCAATTTCCATAATGCCATTGATATTAAAAGCAATGTCAATCTCCATAATGGCGGATTGGTTGAGTATCGGACGTATGGTCTGACTGTAGTTGGACAACAGATCCTTCTCTAGTCGTCGATTATCATCATAGGTAGCTGAAGGGGTAACAACAGACACCGATAAGGAAATAACAAAGAGGATAATTGGAATCTTGGTGGGCATCTTTTTGATCCAGTGTTGTGTTGATCCGTTAATGGTGCAAATCCAAAAGGATTGTCAGCTGTAGATTCGATAGTCACAATTATTCAATCTTCAGTAATGTACACCGCCAAAGGTCTGACACAGATAGAAGACTTCGTCAGAACTCATAAAGTAGTAACCTTAAACAACGAAGACTACTTCTGGCTAACTCCTGCTTTCTCCGTTGGCCACAATAATTATTCAAATCTTTTTGGGTGTTTTCGGTGTTTTCGAGACTTAAAAATTCACCCTCAAGGGTCCGAAAAATTATAGACATACAACAACGATGACTAAATCTGGCTAACTGTTGGTTTCTCCGCTGATCACATTAATTATTCAATCTTTTGGGAGTTTCCAGGACTCTGGCTAACTGTATGTTCCTCCGCTGATCACAAATCAATCTTTGTACAGTGTGCTTAACTCTGGTTCACAATTATTCAATAGTTCCGGGGTTTTCAGGACATTAAAAAAACCTCAAAGGTCTGCCAAATTGTAGGCTTCTTCAAGATTTACAATAATGACCTTAAATTTAACACCAACAACGACGGCTGATTCTGGCTAACTCTTGCTGTGTTGGTCAGATATCACTATTTGCACACTTTGCTTAGCTCTAAAACACAATTATTAAATCGTTCCGGGGATTACGGGACTTGGAAAATACACACCCAAAGGTCTTCACAGTTTGTGGACTTGACTTCTTCAGGACTAACAATAACGACCTTAAAATTGACACCAGCAACGACGACTAATTCTGGCTGAATGATCCCGTGTTTTCACTGGATGCTTAACTATAGACTGGATGTTCACTATTAATATCAATCATTTTAGATCCTGAGTACGCAGTTAACAGTCTGTTAGTTAGACTATAGCATTTCTACACTCTATAACGTCCCATTGGGGCTAATGAAGCCGGGATGATGACGATCTAAATGTTGTTTCAGATGTATGCTTGTTTGACGTGATATGGTCTGATTCCGTTAACTTTTATAACGCTTTTAGTTTTTATAAAAAATCTATCAGTATAGATTGACGCAAAGCTCTGATATTAATCTAACTGCAATTTGTAAAGCAATTATTCTGCCTGTGTCTATTGTCAAGTTCCATCACGAACCACTCGTTAAAAAAAGCCATTTATAATTATCTTCGCATAATAGAGTGTTTGTCTCATCATTTTATGATTTTTCTGATTAGTTACCCGATTAATTTCCTGTTGCAACTTATTGACGCACTTTATACACACTAGTTAGAACGATCTTCGTCCTTGACCTTTGTAATCCTGACTACCTATATACATAGATAGCCATTGGTTGGAGAGAGAGAGAGAGAGATAGGGTTTAACGTCCACTCAACACAAACTAGGTGATTTCGGGACTAACATCGTGCAATTTTATTTAATATCACTTGCGCGTAGGGATCTTTTGTGGCAATGGGAGGAAACAGAAGGGCCCGGAAAAACCCCAAGAAGTTGGACAGGCGACCATACTCCTTACCAAGTACAAGCGAGGGATCGGAACCACACCACTTGACTCAATGACAGGCCTTGTGATTTCACGCGCACGCGTTTAACCATTCGGCCATCCAACTCCGCTTCATTGATTTGACACGGCATGACGTGTAGAGGTCTAGTGATACCAGAGCCCGGGGGGGGGGAGTGAATGGTTAGCACGTGCGTGCTGTATCACAAAGCCTGTCATTGAGTCAACTGGCGTGGTTTCGAATCCCCGGTTGTACGTGGCAAGGAGTAGGGTCGCCTGTCAACCTCGTGGGTTTTCTCCGGGTCCTCCGGTTTCCTCTCACTGCTAAAGACCCCTAGGGGCAAGCGAATTATTGAAATAAAATTAAACCATATGTTAGTCCAGAAATGACCTAGTTTGTGTCGAGTGGACGTTAAACCCCATTTCTCTCTCTCTGACCAGAGCCCTGTGCGTAGCAAAATCTAAACTTGGAGGCGAAGAGGGGATGGGCGTAAACTTTTCTGATTAATCTGTGGTTCCAAATATTGAACTTTAGAATGAAATGAAATGAGGTTTAACGTCCTTCTGCACCAACTGGGCTAACTGAAGACGGGTATACGCCATACAGTGTGTTATGGGGGAAATTTTGCCCGTACAGTGGTGCCATGGGCCTACTCTTATATCGAATTCCAATTGTTCGGGGTTCTTTTGCGTGACCTTGATGTGTACACGGGACCTCGGTTTTTCGTCCCATCCGAACAACTGTGTACAGTTATTGTGTGTTGGATTATGTTACTGGGTTCGTTATGCTCACCAATCTGAACACGGGTGGGTCTGAGTTATCATACGAAATTTCAATTTTAAAAAAAAAACCGCTCAAAATTGATAGATCTCGATCTCAATAGAATGTCTACACCAGGACGGTACAGAACCAATATGTGTCATCCATTCCATGGCGAGGGAGTTTGGATGTGCGAATGGTTAGCACGTGCATGCTGTATCATAAGACCTGTCATTGAGTCAACTGGCGTGGTTTCGAATCCCCGGTTGTACGTGACGAGGAGTAGGGTCGCCTTCCCAACCTCGTGGGTTTTCTCCGGATCCTCCGATTTCCTCCCACTGCTAAAGACCCCTATGTGCAAGCAAATTATTGAAATAAAAAATTAAAACCATATGTTAGTCCCGAAATGACCTAGTTTGTGTCGAGTGGACGTTAAACCACATTTCTCTCTCTCTCTCTGTCCCATTCCATGGGTTTGTTCAGCATCTTTCTGACGTGTGACCTTCCCCTTATCCATATAGCATAATGGCACAAAGTGTATCTTTATGGCTCAGTCGATCGTTAACCATCTAGTTAATCCCCAAGTAAATAAGTTGTTGATAGGAGATTTTTAGATACTGACAGTATTTTAATTTCATGGCTGAAACAAATTATCCCCATATCAAACATTAAAGGTCATTTGTCATTATCGTGTTTTTGTTTTGTTTAATAAAAATAAAGCCCACTTACCCTAGAGTTTAATGAGAAGGGTGGAGATTTTAGTATTATGAATAGGTTTATTATCATGGTAATTGAAATGAAATTGAGTTTAACGTCCGACTGTTCTGTGCCGACTGGGTTAATGAAGACAAGTATACACCCACACTGATCCGTAGTGAATATTCGCTAGGCCGCTACAATCACTGATAAGGATGACATCAATGCGACTGAATGATTCTTAAATATTAACTTTTTTCCACCGACAAATTAAATTCTAAAACATTTTTTTGATGTATTAGAAAAATAAATAAAGACGTTTGACGTATTTGTAGGTAAAAATTATTTTCTATTTAGTGTAAATGAGTATTACAATGACTAAAAAGCAGCATTCTGCCCGAAGCAGTAACGTCTTATGTAAACAATGCACGCGCCATTCAGCCAATGATTGACGCCGCGTACTGTGACGGCACGTGTTAAAGGCAGTCATCTTTTACAGAGATATTAGAAGACTCGTAACTCTCTGTGAAACAGATTGGTATACACCATACAGTGTGCTGATGAAGATGGGCGATAAACCATACAGTGTGCTATGAGGGAGATTTTGCCAGTACAGCGGCGTCGTGGCCTACTCTTATATCAAATTCAAACTACCAAGGTTCTTTACGTGCACACCAATTTTTTCGTCCCATCCGAACTACTATAATTATGTTGCCCCTTGCCAGGCCCTCTATTCTGACCCAATGACAGGGGGGGGGGGGGCAGCACGCCGGATTTAATATTTAGGTGTCGCTTACCACATTTCATGGTGATTTAGAAATATGTAATTAAATAGAAAGTTAATATTTGGACACAAACACACATATCAAGGCAAACTGATTCCCAGTGAAATAGTGTTTGAAAAAAGCTTTATTTAACGTTCGCTTTTGCCATAATTGCAGACAAAAGTGAAATGGTTCTATATGATCAGCTAAAAACTTATATTGCACAATTTTCAAAACGCGCGTCAGGGCAAACTGATTCGCAGTGAAATAGTGTTTGTCGTGAAATAGCTTTAATAACGCCCGCTTTCTTCTACCGAAGGGAGGTTGGATGGCCGAATGGTTTGCATGTGCGTGCTGCGCTGTATAGGCCTAATATATACGGTCTGTCATTGAGTCAACTGGCGTGGTTTCGAATCCCCGGTTGTACGTGACAAGGAGTAGGGTCGCCTGTCCATCCTCGTGGGTTTTATTCCCAAGCGAATTATTGAAATAAAATTAAACCATGTGTTAGTCCCGAAATGACCTAGTTTGTGTCGAGTGGACGTTAAACCCCATTTCACTCTTACACTTATTCTTCGGATCCCTCGAAGTGATATATACATAGGCCTATAATTGCAGACAAAAGTGCTATAGATTGTCTTTTGACTTTGTATGTACCGGTATGTAAAGTATTATAATGGTAAATCTTGGACCTTATTCGCCAAAATATTTTAGGAATGAATTATTTTCATTGGTTAAAGAGATAAATTTTGTACAAGGATTGAAGGATTAAGGATCAAAAAATCCCAACCAATGGAAAGTGTGTATACCACTGCTTGTAAGGTTTAAAGTCTTGTATGATCGTGACAACAGAGGGAGATAACTACAATTTGATTTCGTGACTTCCGGTGTAAACAAGAAATGACAATTTTATTTGTTTTCCTATTTTACCATACAAAAACAATTCTGTTATATAATGTGCTGATGTAATTTGGTTAACCGAAATGTATTTTTTTCACCAAATAAGTATTTGTGTTTAGAAATTTAGAAATGGCAAGTGAATTAGAAGGTAAGTTATAAGTGAAAATCGTCGTCGTCTCCAGATTGTTGAATTGGAAAACCCAACTAAACAGAAGTAGAAGCACACCACGTGACGTAGACGGTTAATATGACAGTACTGTTGTAAAAATTTCGAACAATAAAAACAGATTATAGTGTCAATCCTGGGTTAGGCGCAGTACCATATTTTTATTTTATTTTAGCTTGCAGTGTAGACTATATGGCAGTCAGACATCAGAATGAAATGGGGTTTAACGTCCTACTTTTCTGCTCCAACCACAGAGAAGTTTTGGGTACTATTTCAGTAACATACCTCTACCAGTTCCTGTGATCGTAGAGACTTGAAATTTTCAGGGGGGGGGGGGGTGTTCATCTAGGGGTGCATCTAGCCATAACCTCACACCAAATTTCAGCTGAATCGGTCAATAACTTTTTATTTTACCATAGTTTAGCTTCTAACAAGAGAAAGTTTATCTGATTTTGCCCAGACAGCAATTGAATCCCAAGTGTTAAGGCTTCTTTTTCGTGCACAACAGGGTGTTGGCCTTCTCGGTCCAGGTTTGTGAATCAATGTCTTAGTCACTGAGCCACTGCAGCTCCCCTGAAATCAGAACTATGCTGCTTGTGGCGAGTGGACTGGACGTTAAACCCCATCCATCTCGTACAACTTTCCGGGTTGTACATGACAAGGAGTAGGGTCACCTGTCCATCCTTGTGAGATTTCTCCGGATCCTCCGGTTTCCTGCCACTGATAAAGTCCCTAAAGCAAATTATTGAAATAAAATTGAACCATGTGTTACTACAGTGTTAGTCTCGAAATGACCTAGTTTATGTCAGTGGACATTAAACTCTCTCTCTCTCTCTCTCTCTCTCTCTCTCTCTCTCTCTCTCTCTCATCAGTTGAGATTTTCACCAAAGTATAAAGTGTATGAATAATTTATTTTTGTTATATATTTCAGATGATGGTGTTGTAAATAAATCTGTAGATATACCTCATGTTACACAGTTTTATAGCTGGGATTGTGGTCTAGCTTGTGCTCACATGATTTTAAAGTAAGACAATCTCATTAAAACATGAAATTGTTATGCTCTCACATGCATTCATTGCATGTTTCATTCTGGTGTTTGCTGATTTTCTGTGTGGGACAACGTATAGTCGTTAGAATGGGACAAAAATTAACGAGACCCCCAGGTACACGTTGGTATACACGTAAAAGCACTCTTGGCAGTTGGAATTCGATATAAGAGTAGACCACAGCGCTGCCGCCCAGGCATAATTTCTGTCTTAACACACTGTATGGGGTATGCCCTTCTTTATTAGCTGTCAGAGCAGAACAGTAGGATGTTAAACCCCATTTCATTTTGTATTCTTTACTTGTGTTGCCCAAGAAACCTTTTCAGGATTTTCCAGCTAGGTTTTCACTCGTCAGTGATGCAGGATGGAGGACGTGGCAAGGTAAAGGTAGGTTTCCACTCGTCAGTGATGCGGGATTGAGGACCTGGCATGGTAAAGCTAGGTTTCTACTTGTCATTGACACAGGACGAAGGACCTGGCAAGGTAAATCGACTAGTGGTTTGTAATTGAATGAAAAACCTGAGGTTGTTAAAGTTGCAATAGATCAAAGGGCGGGTCGTAGCACTCTCAATTTAAAGTTTTGTCTAATTTGTCTGTACCATGTATGGTCACCACTGGTCAGTGGTTTCTATTTGTTTATGTGGGAGGAAACTGGAAGACCCAGAGAAAACCCATGAGGTTGGATAGGCGACCCTACTCCTTATCACCACTGCTACAGACAATCGGATTATTGAAATAAAATTAAAGCATATGTTAGTCCCGAAATGACCAATGACCTAGTTTGTAAGAGTAATATGACAGTATATTTTTATTTGACAGATATTTAGGGAAGCCGTGTGATAAGTTATATACAACAGATTTAGATTATTTACAGTGCGAAGAAAGGTATGTTAAACTTTACTCTAATATTATTACATCTTCTTTAGTCATATATTAAACCCTTGGTATTTTATATAGTACATTGCACAAAAAAATCATTTTACATCACAAAAAGCTTAAAGATAAATTATGGGAGATTCGATAGCAAGTTGGCAGTTTTCACTATAATAGTAAAAAACTAGATAATGTAAAGGCAATTTGCTGAAAATTTCATTCAAATTGATCCACTATGAACCGAGAACCAAGCGGTTGAAATTTCCACCAAGCCTTGATCATCATTACTAATGTCAGTACGATAAACAGCATAGTCTCGATTATCCATTTAATCGTTTTATCATGAAGGAAAGTTATGCAGTAAATTGGATCATAATCCACTAAAGATCGCAGGCTAGCAATGCCATCTAAAGTTGATTATGGTCTGGATAGGTTAATTAATGTCTAATTGATAATTTAGAAAACATTTTAGGCCTAAAGAAAGACTTGCAGTAAACAGATTTAGCTCTTGCATAATGTATGTTTAAGTTTGTCAGGCATTAAAATTGTCCTGTGAGATACGGTTATTAGGTCTTTTTTATTGTTAAATTAGCATTCTATTTATTATATGTCCACATATTGCGAGAGAGAGAGAGAGAGAGAGAGAGAGAGAGAGAGAGAGGGTTTAACGTCCACTCGACACAAACTAGATCATTTCGGGACTAACATATGGTTTAATTTTATTTACATAATTCGCTTGCGCGTAGGGGTCTTTAGCAGTGGGAGGAAACCGGAGGACCCGGAGAAAACCCACGAGGTTGGACAGGCGACCCTCCTCCTTGCCACGTACAACCGGGGATTCGAAACCATGCCAGTCGACTCAATGACAGACTGTATGATACAGCACGCGCACGCTAACCATTCAGCCATCCACCCCCCCCCCACATATTGCCATCGCCCCTGTCTCTCTGTATGTGTGTGTGTCTATGGGTCACCTACAGGCCGCAATTCTTAACTGATTGTCTTGAAACTTTGCATACTTTTTCCTTATATCCTAAGGATGATTCCTATTGTTTTTGGTGCATGCCCGCCCCCCAGGTGCAGAGCCACACCCATTTTTTGTATTTGTTTGTTTGTTGTCTACAGGACGCATTTCTTAACAGATCATCTTGAAACTTTGCATACTTATTCCTTATACCCTAAGGATCATTCCTATTGTTTGTGGTGCATGCCCAACCCCTAGGGGCTGAGCCACGCCCATTTTCTCTCTGTGTTTCGGCTACAGGCCCCAGTTCTAAATGTTCGTCTAGAAAACTTTTAATACTTATTCCTTATACCCTAAGGATGACCTCTATTATATTTTGGTGAATGCCCGACCCTCTAGGACACACCCAATTTTTGTGTCTGTCTGTGTGTCGCCTACAGGCACCAATTCTTGACAGATCCTCTTGAAACTTTGCATACCTAATCTTTATACTCAAAGGATGATTCCTATTGTTTTTGGTGAATGTCCGACCCCCAGGGGCATAACCACACCCATTTTTTCTTTGTGTGTCTGTGTTGCCTACATGCCACAATTTTTAATGGATCGTCTTGGAACTATGCAGTTGTATTCTTTATAGCCTAAGGTTGGCAACTATTGATTTTGGCTCATGTTCCGACCCCCGGGGCCGAGCCACGCCTAATTTTTGTTTTTATTGTCTACAGGCTGCAATTCTGAATTGATCCTATTGTAACTTTGCATATTTATTCCTTATACTGTAAAGACAGCAATTATTTATTTTGGTGCATGCCTTGACCCCTCAGGAATGTGGGTGTATATTGCAGCAGTACAGATGCTCTTATATAATAAATTTGTGGTTTTTTTATTTCAGTGTTTGGACTATTCATCTAGCATATCTGATGAAAAGATATAACATAGCTCATCAGCTGTTTACAATAACGCTGGGGGTAAATGAAGGTTATGCTTCAAAGGTAAACAAAACACATATTTTATTTTTTTAAACTTTGAATGATGTAATTAAGCTAAACAGTTAATTACTAGACATTTAAGCTAGACAGTTAAAACCTAGATAGTTGTTAAGCTAGACAGTTGTTAAGCTAGACAGTTGTTAAGCTAGACAGTTGAAAACCTAGACAGTTGAAAACCTAGACAGTAATTCAGCTAGACAGTGGTTAAGCTAGACTTTGAATGATGTAAATTCTAAGATTTATACATAACATTATCAGGTAACATGAAATATGACCTCCACTAGCATTAAAGTAAGGATGCACCTTTGGCATTTGTTGCTATCATATCAAATTTCTCACTTTTTAATCCAGGATTATTTAATATTTGATTAAGAAAACAAATAAAAATACCACTGCTAGATTTAAGACAGGCCTATCATTAAATATTTGTGGATAACAAAATGGCAGGGGGCTTATTGAATAGCGAGCAGCATACATTGATGAAATTCCTTGATGCTTTGTGAATAGTAATCCCCCAGCAACATACCAACTGGAATAAATCTCTTATATTCCGTAGCATTCTTGTTGGTGTGTTGCTTGGGGGATTACTTTTCTACAGCTTTTTAGAGGATTCTTTTTTCCTCTCTGGGGGATCACAGTGCCTAAGTGGGTAAGACGCTGGCTCACTAGCCTGGAGGTTGGGTGTTCGATCCCTGCATTGGCCAAGGAAGTTCATCCAGATTTTCCGGTGTGGTTCCCCCTTGTCAGTGATGCAGGACAGAGGGCCTGATAAGGACAGCTGTCTAGTCATTAAGATGGGATGAAAAATCGAGGTCCTGTGTACACATTGGCGTGCACATAAAAGATACCTTGACAATTGGAATTCGATATAAGAGTAGGACGTAGTGCCGCTATCTGGGCAAAATTTCCCTCATAGCACTCTGTATGGTGTATGCCCATCTTCATTAGCCCAGTTCAGAGTAGGCTAGTGAGTCAGCGTCTTACCCACTTAGCCACCGTGACCCCCCAAAGCCAAATAGTTTAACAATAAAGTTTTATTTACGATCACAAAGGAAACACAACAAGGAAGTCCAATATTACTACAAAGATTAACAGTATGTTCACAATCAGTAGAAAATGCTAAAAGAACTGTGATGTGTTGAGTGTTTGCAGGGAGATGGGGTTAATGTTTTTGCAAATTTTGTTGTCTATTTTCAGTCGTTTTATTCAAGATTTTTTTGTCGGGATGAGGGGAAAGTCAATAATTTGTTTACTAAAGCTGCCGAATATGGAGTGAATGTTGAAAAAAGGTAAAATATAATCCACAGTAGGTATTATGAGTAGTATGAGATGGTACTCTCTACCCACAGTAGGTATTATGAGTAGTATGAGATGGTACTCTCTACCCACAGTAGGTATTATGAGGTAGTACTCTCTTTTAGATGAGACCCACGAAGCTAGATGTTACTGCAATTACTTGCATAGGCCTATAGGAATAATAGCTTTTTTTGGGAGTGGCACAAACCGTGACCTAACAGATTTATGTGACTGACTTATCAATCTCCCTGAACATTTGAAACCTAGGCAGTAATAAGCTAGACAGTTGTTCAGCTAGACTTTGAAAACTTAGACAGTTGTTAAGCTAGACAGTTCAAATCTAGACAGTAATTCAGCTAGACAGTAATTAAGCTAGACAGTAATTAAGCTAGAATTTGAAAACCTAGACAGTTTTTAAGCTAGACAGTTAAAACCTAGACAGTAATTAAGCTAGACATTGAAAACCTAGACAGTTGTGAAGCAAGACAGTTAAAACCTAGACAGTTGTGAAGCTAGACAGTTCAAACCTAGACAGTAATTAAGCTACACAGTTAATTACTAGACCTAGATAGTTGTTAAGCTAGACAGTTGTTAAGCTAGACAGTTGTTAAGCTAGACAGTAATTCAGCTAGATAGTGGTTAAGCTAGACTTTGAAAACCTAGACAGTTGTTAAGCTAGATAGTTGAATACCTAGACAGTTGAAAACTAGTCCTGTTTAAAGTAAATATGTACAAGCTTTACATTAATAATTAAAACATTCTGGAAGATTTTTATTTCTAAACTAGCGTTGATTGATCAAGTGTTATCACTATTTTCTGGGACCATTTCTTCATTTCATAAAGGGGGGTTGGATGGCCGAATGTTTAGAACGTGCGCGCTGTATCATAAGGCCTGTCAGTAAGTCAACTGGCGTGGTTTCGAATCCCCGATTGTATGTGACAAGGAATAGGCAACCTCGTGGGTTCTCTCCGTGTCCTCCGGTTTCCTCCTACTGCTAAAGACCCCTGCGTGCAAGCGAATTATTGAAATAAAATTAAACCATATGTTAGTGCCGAAATGACCTAGTTTGTGTCGAGTGGACGTTAAATCCTATCTCTCTCTCTCTCTCTCTCTCATTTCATTAAAAACAATAAATGATTTTATTGAAGGTGTTTGAGTTTAAAAGAAATAACTGATTATTTAAAAGATGGTACTGTGGCAATATGTTTAACAGACTGGGTTAAACTAGAATGTATCTGGTGTCGTAATATGGTAATATACTTTACTCTATCTCTCTCTATTTTATAAATGGTTTGTGGGGCCACAGTGGAGCTGGCTAACTAACCATGATGTTCAGGATTCGATCCCGGTGTTGGCCAAGAAAGTTTATCAGGATTTTTCAGGAGAGATTTCCCCATGTCAGTGGTGCAAGACGGAGGGCCTGGCAAGGAACAATGTATAGTCATTCAGATAGGACAAAAACATGAGGTCCTGCGTACACACTGGCAGTTGGAATTTGATATAAGAGGTGGCTGTAGTGCCGCTGTCCTTACAAAATTTTCGTCATAGTACACTGTTATGTGCATGCCAGTGTTCATTAGTCAACTTTGAGCAGTACAGTAAGGTGTCAAACCCCATTTCATTTCATTTACCTTTAGTTTACAAATAGTTGACACATTTGTTTTTAAGTGTGGTCTGAATCCGTCTACTTAAATAACAATAACAATTATGTCCCTTTATTTTCGACAAGAATATTTTTGAAATGGCAACACTGGAGTAGGGTCATCTGTCCAACCTCGTGGGTATTCTTCCGGTCTTGTTCTAAAAAATCTGAATCCACAAGTGAATTATTGAAAACACCATACCACTGGACAACCGAACGCTCCTGTCTTAGTGGAAGACACTGAACATTTAACAAGATAATTTATTTTTCAGGTTTCCTGTTTATCATGTTTTATAGATATATGTCATACAGGATATCAAGGTTAGTACAATCCTGTCTTGAGGGTCAAGGTCACAGGTCTCATATCGGGCTCCAAAAAGGGAGGTTGGGATGGCCTAGTGGTCTAGAGTGTCGCGCTTCTAGCTCTCGCTGGTCGGTCAGCTCTGGTTTGTGGTCGTGGTTTCAATCCCTCGTGTGAGTGACAAGGACAGCTGTCTAGTTATTCGGATGGGACAAAAATCCGAGGTCCCATGAACACATTGGCCTGCACGTAAAAGATCCCTTGACAGTTGGAATTCGATATAAGACTAGGCCATAGTGCCGCTGTTCAGGCAAAATTTCCCTCATAGCACACTGTGTGGTATATGCCCGTCTTCATAAGCCCAGTTCGGAGCAGAACAGTAGGACGTTAAAACCCATTTCATTTCATTTCATTTCCCTCGTGTGAGTGTATGTAGCTTGGAAATAGGAGCGCTTTCTCAACCTCATGGGTTTACTGAGTAAACTTTACTCCCACGGAAAAGACCCATGTGTGCGCGCTCAGATAAAAAAAAATAAGACCTTCACCAAGAACAACGACCTGGTCTGGTTATTAACATCAGATGTTTTGCTTGCCAGGAGAAGTCCAAGACCACAAAAGTTATATTTGACAACATCTACAAGAATTTATAAAACTTGTGTGGTAATTATATTCTTATTTCAGGTCACTTTGTTGTGCTTGTTGGTTTTGATTCTGTTAATAAACATATATTTTATAAAAACCCTAATTCATCTAAAGAGGGTAAGTGCAGTTTTGATATTGTTAAACAGGCATTATGTGAGATCTAAATCTTCTTATTGAAGGTCTTTCTCTGGTTCTTAAATGTTATCTACTTGTAAATTATTAATTTGACATTTATTAACATGACAAGATCATAATCAACTCTCGATACCATTGGATGTAGATTAGAACAGTTCAACCATTTAATGATTTAATTTAGAAATGGAGAAGCGAGGCTGAGACTTGAATGACCAGTACGGTGGTTTACGATCAATGCACACATCTTGTCTGCAACTATTGATAACTTCGCTCAAAATAAAGTAATTTGAATGAAATTTTCAATATATTCATTTTGTATTATCTATTTTTGAAATATTATAACGAGAACGGCCAAGCTCTTTATTTAAATCTTACATAGTGCCCCTTTAATAAACATATATTTTACAAAAGCTCTAATTCTTCTAAAGAAATCATCAGTGAGTTGAGTAATTAATGCAGTCATAATTATATTCACAATGCTGAGTCATGCACTCATCAGTGAGTTGAGTCGTGCAATGACCAGTGAGTTGAGTCGTGCAATGATCAGTGAGTTGAGTCATGCAACCATCAGTGAGTTGAGTCATGCAGTCATCAGTGAGTGAAGCCATGCAGTCGTCACTGTATTCAACGCCTGGGCTGTGTTGTAGTAGATATATGAACAGTTTGATAAAGCATGGGAAGAGTTGATCTCCCCTGACCCATCCCCACCCACCCTCAATTGAGCGGTTTTAATAAGTAAACTATTTATATTTATTTCAGTGTTATGTTGTAGTAGATATGAACAGTTTGATAGAGCACGGAAGAGTTCTGGGACAGACGAAGATATTTTATTTATATTTAATAAAGATGATGTCATAGATTCCTGACATATAGATGATGTCATAGATGCCTGATATACATATGATGTCATAGATTCCTGATATATAGATGATGTCATAGATGCCTGATATACATATGATGTCATAGATTCCTGATATATAGATGATGTCATCGATGCCTGATATATAGATGATGTCATAGATTCCTGACATATAGATGATGATATTTTATTAATATTTAATAATAAAAATGAGGTCATGGATCATAGATTACTGATCAATCTGATTAAAACACAGATCCTATTTTGTTTCGTTTTTCATAGTTCAAAATTTCGTTTTCCTTGTCTTTACTACACTAGGATCTGGAAGAGTTGTTATATAACCAGAGTTCTGGTTGAAGTGAGGGATTAGCCAATATAACAGTCTGTTACCACGAGTTTTTGACATTGGTTAATCAAATGTCTGACCTCATAGGTTTAAAAGCTGATCGTATGACTCCTGACACGACCTTCTACTACAACCAGTCAGATCTTCATGTAGTAGAGAGGATATATCTATTTGTTAAGGCTAGCTCAATTTTCGTCAAGGTTGCTGAGATGTAAATACGGTTAGGGTACGTGATTGTTGACGAGGTTAGGGTAAGCATTGGGGCTAGGTCCAGGGTTACGGTTTGGATTAGTGCGTGTCCTGTTTACATCATGTGACCTTTCACTAGGCTTGAAGTTGGCCTTATCAAATAGATCTAACCGTAGTAGAGGCCATCATCGAAGGTAATTAAAAACGAAACGAAATATAGATCTGTATTTTAATCGGATTACTGATGAACAGATTTATATTTAATAAAGATGACATCATTCATGATAAAACCCAAACTGATAAAAGCAAACATCAACATTTTGCTATCTGAGGACCAGACTGTTTTGTGTCAATAAAAAAAAAAACGTGTTTTTTTTAAAAAAAAAAAAATATATATATCGTTCAAAGTTTGAGAACCACAAAACGTTTCAGTATTGGAATGAAATCATCAACAGTAATGCTGTGGTATTACTATTATTGGTTCAGTTATTTGAATGAAATTTTCAATATATTCATTTTTCATTATCTATATTTGAACAAATATAGCAAGAATGGTCAGTACTTTATCTAAATCTTATATAATGCATCTTTTAATATTTCTATTTTATGGTGTAAATAACGGTTAAATATTTCTTTCAAGTTATATTATTGTGATATAATTTGTGGGAGTTAAATATTTCTTTCAATTTGTTTTGTGATATAATTTGTGTATTTTTATATGGTGATTATATTGTGTTCATGTCCATGTTTTCATGTCCATAATGTTTGTTATGTAACTCGTAACTTAAAGTAGCTAAGTCTCCAACTCAATGTCATCCAAAATCTTCAACATTGAAAACACAATTTATTTGTCAAATTAAATCAACATTCATGTTGTGATCTTACCGGAAAAAGATGGGCTTTTTGATATCAAATATTTAAGACAAAATCAACATTGTACCATTGGTACACGAATCGTGTACCATAATGCGCTTCAGCCCCAGTTGTATCGAGAGACTCGTATGACGAGGCTAGACACATTGCACCAAATCAAACGGCGTATGTAGACTGGAATAACCAGACGCTAGAAATTTGCACTCGCTTGAGACTGCTGGCTTATTTCGCCGAACATAACTGATTTGAAATTGGAGTAAAAACGGAAACCATTGAATGTAAATCAGTTTATATACATTCATATTACAGTATTATATGCGTTGCGACCCACTTTTGTCAATTTCTAGGTGCCAAATGTTAGTGATTTTGCTCCTTTAATGGGTGGGTTGTATGGGTGAATGGTGCGCGCTGTATCATAAGGTCTGTCATTGAGTCAAGTGGTGTGGTTTCGATTCCCTGGTGGTATTGACTAGAACCCTGTTTACATTACAAATTTTAAGCGTGCCAGGAATGGTACCAGGAATGGCACGGTTAATTTTTTTGTAGTGTAAACGGGTTAAACATAAGCGTGCCGTACTGAGTACGGTGCCAATCTGGCCCACTGAAATGAGGTGATCTGGGCACTGTACCAGGCACGTAGTGTAAACGCCATCCGGTGTGAGCATGGTTTAAAGTAGCTAAGTCTCTAACTCAATATCATCCACAATCTTCAACATTGAAAACACGATTTATTTGTCAAATTAAATCAACATTGATGTTGTGATCTTACCGGAATAAGATAGGCTTTTGATATCCAATATTTAAGACAAAATAAACATTTTACCATTGGTACACGAATCGTGTATCATAATGCGCTCCAGCCCAAGTTGTAAAAAGAGACTCGGGGGACGAGGCTAGACACATTGCACCAAATCGAACGGCGTATGTAGACTGGAATAACCAGACGCTAGAAATTTGCACTCGATTGAGACTGCTGGCGTATTTCGCCGAACATAACTGATTTGAAATTGGAGTAAAAATGGAAACCATTGAATGTAAATCAGTTTATATACATTCATATTACAGTATTATATGCGTTGCGACCCACTTTTGTCAATTTCTAGGTCCCAAATGTTAGCAATTTAGCTCCTTTAAGTACGGATTACTGTGCATGTGCAAAACAAACCTTGACTATTTCCCCGCGCAAATTTTGACAGTTTTGTCATCAGTTCTGTCAAAATGGCTGCTCAAACTAAATCAACCCTCATAATTGTTTTCATCTGGGTAATTTGCATAGGGACTGAAATTAATTTTTATGTGAAGAGTTTCACATTTGGCGTGCTTGGCGCGGTTCCGAGACCTGTTATTTTAGAGTAATGTAAACGGGTCAATTTCTTGAAATTTATTGCGGCCTGGTACCGTGCCCAAAACGGCACGCTTATCGTGGCTAAGTGTAAACCGGGTTAAAATTGATAGAAATTAGCTCTTTGAGAAAATTAAATTTAACAGAAAATTTATTACAAAAAAATTCAGAATCAATTTTTTTATGGCAGTGCTATAATTACTATAGGATTAAAGTAACTAGATTACAACTTTTTTTTAGTTTATATTTTTTGTTGGCCTGGATTTCTGGCTGGCACGTGCCTTATTTGCCTAATGCCGATTTCTTCGAGAAAGATAGACGCATAGCAAATCGCTTCCAAATTGCCTAAGAAAATCGTCTGTTTGTGCTAGATTTAACCCAGGGGTCTCTGGTTTGATCCCTCGGCTGGCCGAGAACGTTCCATGGGATTTTCCAGCCTGTATTTCTTGTCAGTGGTGCAGGACGCAGGACAAGGACAAGTTTCTAAGATTTGCGTCGAATGGAACGCAAATCGAGCTCTCCGTCTTCGTAAAGAAGAATAGATAGAAATGTCGCCATTTGGATAAAATTTCCCTCATAGCACACTGCATGGCGCATGGCTGTCACCATCATTAAACTCCATTCCATTTCATTAACGTCTTACTAACGAAATGGGGTTTGATTTCCCTTGCTTTTGTACTCGCATTTCAGACAACTGGACATACTCCTTGTTGTATTAACAAGTTTATATTAACAATTGCACAAATAATATATTAACAATTGCACAAATGTTATATTAATGGATTTATTATGATCGATATTAAAGATTTTGTTGTTTTATAGAGATGAATTTATCTTGTCTTTATTTTACCTTTTGTTTGCCAGATTATGGGGGGTTGAATGGCCGAATGGTTAGCACGTGCGCGCTGTATCATAAGGCCTGTCATTGAGTCAACCTGTGTGGTTTTGAATCCCCGGTTGTACGTGATAAGGAGTAGGGTCGCCTGCTAACCTCGTGGATTTTCTCTGGGTCCTCCTGTTTCCTCCCACTGCTAAAGACCCCTACGCGCAAGCGAATTATTGAAATAAAATTAAACATATGTTACTCCCGAAATGACCTAGTTTGTGTCGAGTGGACGTTAAACCCCATTTCTCTCTCTCTCTCTTGCCAGATTATTAGCCAGTCAGAACTTGAGCTGTGCTGTTGCAGATGAGACTTGGGAGTGTCTTACAGGCAGTTTGGGGCGGTCAATTCTAGCTTGAAAATAGTTTAGTCCGTCCATGTTTGTGGTATTTGGATAAAGAGAAATAAGAGATAAAAACAAAATGTTTTAGCTGATCAGCGGTTCAGAAAACTACACCACGAGAAAACAGCAGACATGAAATGAAATGGGGGTTTAACGTCCTACTTTTCTGTTCCGTGTATACATTGGCGTGCATGTAAAGTAAACCTTGTATTTCGACGCATATGTAAAGACGCGGCAAAGTGTCCCCCATAACGCACTGCATGGTGTTTGCTTATCTTAATAAATGGTGTTGGCCGAGAAAGTTCATAAAGTTTTTCCTGCGTGGTTAGCTGTCTAGTCGTTCGGATGGGACGAAAAACCGAGGTCCCGTGTGCACATAAAAGATTCCTTGGCATTTGATAGTAGGTCGTATTGCGGCGCTGTCCGGGCAAAATTTTCCTCATAATACACTGTATGGCGTATGGCCGTCTTCATTAGCCTAGTCAGAGCAGAAAACTAAGATGTTAAACTCCATTTCATTTCATCAGATGTCTGCCATTTTATTTCAAATGTGGATCGGGGACTTTAAGGATCGGCTATATTTTATATATTATGAAAATATACAAAAAGGAAATTCTTATCGTGTTCATTTGTTTATTTTTACTTTGTAGCATCAAAAAACTTGACGGATTTAGAGCCAACAACTCTAGCATTGTGAACAGTGTTGGACGGGACCTCCACCATATCCCCTGGTTTTAATATCACAGTGTCACCATACATGCTGAATTCGAACTCTCCACTAACGATGGAATCCTTTTTAGACATGGGATGGGTGTGATCGGGAAAATCAGTTCCCAAAGAAAATTCATACACGATATAATTGTATCCTTGTAATTTTAATTTTCGTTTCATATTTTCTTCGTTTATATCACCATCTTTAGCCACATCCCATTTTTCAATCTGGATTCTTTTTCCCGACATACCATTAGGAGACGGAGAAGAGCTGTGATATTTTATATAGGTGTATCTCTAATTTTCTGGAATATAGAAAATAAAATGAAATAAAATGGGGTTTAATGTCTTACTTTTTCTGTGCCAACCGGGATAATGAAGATTGGCCTACGTCATAAAGTGTGCGATTAGGGGGGGGGGGGGTCGTCCAGTCCATACGTTCTCGGCCAATACGGGTATTGAGGGGAAGAGGGGAGGGGGTAACGTCCACTTGACACAAACTAGGTCATTTCGGGACTCACAAAAGGTTAAATTTTATCTGAATAATTCGCTTGAGCGTAGGGGGCCTTAGCAGTGGGAGGAGACCGGGGGACGCGAAGAAAAACCCACGAGGTTTCACAGGCGACCCTACTCCTTGTCACGTGCAACCGGGGAAAAGAGAGATTTCATTACAAACGTGAAGGTTGTGACTAGCAATACCCCTGTCTCCAAACCAATTTTACCAGCATGTGAGCTCTTTTAATAATCAGCGAGTTTGGGCTGACCACCCTACTCCCTGTCACATACAACTAGGGAATCGAGACCAAGCAACACGATTCAATGACAGGCCTTGTGATCCAATGCGCACGCATTAACCATTCGATTAGGTCTAAAAATTAAAGCCAACTGTAGATTTGTCAAAGATCACGAGATTTAAACCGGGCTAGCGTTAACCCTAACCCTAAATCTAGCCCTAACCCTGGTTAACCCACAATCTCGTGAATAATCACCTAACCTAGCCCTGTTTACATCTCGTGACCTTGACGAAATCTGCAGTTGGCTCTAATTTTTAGACTTTACCGTGCCCCACCTGTCTGGTGTTGGGCCGATAAGGCAAGTTTGCTTAGTTGATTGGATGGGACAAAAGGGTCACCCGTCGACTATACACAAAATTCGATGAGTAGGCCTACAGAGTAGCCAGAGCCGCTGCCTGGTGCACACACCCTAGCACTGCACACTTAACAATAAAATAAGATATATCATTTGTGAGATAGACAATTCAGCTACAATTTTTTTTGTAAATCAACACTTTTTATGAGAAAGGTTTCTCGGCCGTGTGCTTTATCCTTTATCGTCAGATTTGGGATGGGCACTCAAAGCACGAGATAATGATATAGACATTATGTGATATCACAATTAATGCTTTGCATCCATGAAATTGAATCACAATGTCATTGTATTAATTCATAATAAAAATTGACGTCAAACGAGGTGTTGAATTTCTCTGTTTAAAAAGCTCAATGTGTATGTATAGAGACTATGCAGGAAGGGGGGGGGGGATACATTGTCTCAGGAACATGACCCCCCCCCCCCCCTGCAAAAATGCCAGGATCCGCCCCTGGACATTAGTTTTAAAAATTTCCATCCAGATACACTTTCCTTGTTAATGTCTGTGAGGGCTTTTTTAAAACCTCGCTCAGTTCATCAATACCTTGTCGAAAATCAACATGTGCCTGGATGACTGAGTCACAAGTCGAGTGGTTCGTTCCACTTAAACTATTGTTCTCTGAGGAATCCATAGTTTATGGTTTGTCAGTCCGTACGAAATATAGCATGTCGGTCTGATGCTTCCGTAATCGATACCTGAACATTGAGTCCAAAATAAAATGCTTAATTAGAATGAAAAGTTTTTAGATTGATCAAAATCATAATACTTACGTCCTAAATGCAACATGAAATGGCAAAGGGAGTTTATAAAATGGAGTTGTGTCCCCTTATTTGCAAACCGTTATCTTAACACGCTTGTTAAAGATGCCTTCTCGCGTACAAATTGTGTGAATTGATGATATATTTGGAATAAAAACATATCTAGACTAATTTATCTATCAAAAGTTTGCTTCAAATCGCTCTCAAAATATTTCAATCCAAAAGAAATACCCAATGACGCAATAATCTATTTTAAGCAACCTTGATTGGCAGTCTACGTGAGAATTGGTATAGGCCTAAATCAATGGGGAGAATTTATAATATTAGCTTAAAAAAGTCTCTAGCTGTTCTCACAGGGGAGTTGGATGGCCGAATGGTTAGCACGTGCGCGCTGTATCATAATTGCCTGTCATTGAGTCAACTGGTTTCGAATCCCCGATTGTACGTGACAAGGAGTAGGATCGCCTGTCCAACCTCGTGGGTTTTCTCCTGGTCCTCCAGTTTCCTCCCACTGCTAAAGACCCCTACGCGCAAGTCAATTATTGAAATAAAATTAAACCATATGTTAGTCGCAAAATGACCTAGTTTGTGTCGAGAGGGCGTTAAACCCCAATTCTCTCTCTCTCTCTCTCTGAGCTCTCTCTCTCTCCATTCTCACAACTGCTACACAAAAAAGCGCTGATTACATATCACGTAACTCGAGCAGACAGTCTTTTAATTAGGCCCCTACTGACACCCTCACATTTTACATTTAGTCCCGTGTACGCCCAGTGGGTGTTTTTCAGGGAATCCAATATCTTTCTAGTGAGACTGGGTGTCTGTACTTTCCTGAATTCCATATACCAAATATTATATCATCCTTTTATTGGAAATAACTACAAACAAAACAAAAAATAATAATTTCTTGGAGATAATTAAGAAAACGGATATGAAATAATTAAAAATAAAATATAAAACGTAAAGGCTACAACGGTTACAGTGGTTTGACGGCCACAGACATTTCGACAATGGATGTTTTATAACCCTAACCCTAGCCCTCATCATTTAGTTTACAGTCGATATAGCACCAACTACTGTTCCTGAAACCTCGTGATCGCAAAGTGTGCCCATCCGACGTATTAGTGTCGGTCTACTTTTTGTCGATTTTTATCTGTCGAGAGAACTTTCGCGTACACTGCCAACATGTAACCCAAACTATAGGGATTTTTTTTGTCTTTTTGATACAGATTTTGGGCCGTTTTAATAGGCCTACAGATTTTGGCAAACGTGCAAAATAAAAAGGTTATTCGTGAGAGAAACTGACAAAGTCCTGTATTTAAATTTAAAAAAAAAAAAAAAAAAATCCAACTTCAATGTAGACATGTCTAAGCACACCTAAGAAATTTTCCTTTATAGCGACAACACGTGTACATTGTGTAACAATCGCGGTGGCTATGAAAAAAAGCAATTACAAGGAAGGTGTTTAAATTTTCAACAGAACTGAGAAACTGGTCTATAATTTTGTTCAAGCCTTTTCAAAATCCCGGAAAGTGAATAATAGTATGCATTGAGGAATACGTGTATTTGTTCACACGTAATCCTTGTTGATCGTCATAAAGATTAAAGATACATTGTTCAAAAGCTAAATTTGCCTAATGCAGGTCTTCCGTTAGGCCTTAAATATTATATAAATTACCACTATGAACATCAACGCCGATTTGTTAATCAAATGTTTGACATCATAGGGTCAAAAGCCACTTGTATAACCCCTGACGCGACCTCCCACTACGACAGGCAAGATCTTCGGAGAACGCGAGATCGGAGACGGTCCTGCACAATATATGACATCATATGTGGATTGTGCGTTACGGTTAGGGCAAGGCTGGTCCAGGGTTAGGTTTAAGACTTTCCCTCATGGCACACGGTATGGCGTATGCCCGTCTTCATTAGCCCAGTCGGAGCAGAACAGTAGGACGTTAAACCCCATTTCATTTCATTTTCGGTCAAAATTTCACTCATCGCACATTGCGTGACGTATGTGTACGGGTCTTCATTGGCACGGTTGGCGCAGAAAAGTAGGACGCTAAAACCCATTCGATATCATTTCGTCTCTTTAAAGATACATTAGATAAGATTTTGATAAAGAGTTGATCATTCTTGATATTACCGTTCAAAAATAGATGATAAAATTGACAGACGATAACTCCGCCCATATATTCTCGATTATCAAGTAACATTATCAATGCCTACGGTACCCTCGATTGTCAGTCCTTTCATCGACAGACTCCGGTAGTGACGTCAGTGATTAACAGTAAATGTTAGCTTGATCAGCCATATGATTTAATTATTAAATGGAAGAATGTTTAAGTCCAAGCTGTATCCAAGCTATCCGAGGGTTACAGGGTTGGTTTTGGGCTTGTAGTGTAAATAAAGGTCTTATTAATCATTTCTATAATATTTGAAGCCTATGGAAAGATCTGCATATTTAGCTCATAACTAAGGTATCTTTAGTAAGCCCAAGCGACAATGGTTTTTTGGCTTATTTCCTAAGTAGGCTTATATCGTGCTTCAGAATAATATAGGTTATTGTATATCAAATAATTAGAGCAAACCGTAACGACCCTGTCCGTCAGAACTTCCTGGTATTTGAAAAGTTCGTTACGTTTATTTCTATACGATTTGTTGGCAAAGTATTTCATTTCAATTGTCGTTTATTTTCTATTTCAAAACGTTTATAATGTCAATATTTATTTCCTTCTGGGTAAAGTGGTGTACTTCGTTGCGTAAAAGAGTAATATACGGTTTATTGGGAGAATTGAGAGAGAGAGAGAGAGAGAGAGAGAGGGAGAGAGGGTGACGTCCACTCCACACAATCCATTTCGGGACTAACATATGTTGCAACTTTATTTTAACAAATCGATTGGGCATAGTGGTCATTAAATGAAATGAAATGAAATGGGGTTTAACGTCCTACTGTTCTGCTCCTATACTGGGCTAATGAAGACGGGCATACGCCATACAGTGTGCTATGAGGGAAATTTTGAACGGGCAGCGGCACTATCGCCTACTCTTATATCGAATTTCAACTGTCAAGGGATCTTTTACGTGCACGCCAATATGTACACGGGACCTTGGTTTTTCGTCCCACCCGAACGACTAGACAGCTGTACTTGTCAGGCCCCCCGTCCTGCATCACTGGCAAGGGGAAACCACGCCGGAAAATCTGGATGAATTTTCTCGGCCAATGCAGGGATCGAACACCCGACCTCCAAACTAGCGAGCCAGCGTCTTACCCACTTAGCCACGTGATCCCCCCATAGTGGTCTTTAACCGTGAAATGTAACCGCCCGTCCCGTAGAAAATTTATGAGGTTGGCCAAGCTACTCTAATCCTTAAATTGTCCCCATTCAAGCTTGAAATCGAAACCACGCCATGTGAGTCAATGACTGACCGTAGGATCTAGAGCGCACGCATTAGACCACTCCCCCGGCCCCACCCACCCCTCATCTTTTGTAGAATAATACTTCATGAGAATAATTTAGAAGGTTAATTGCGTACTGCACCCAATATTGGAAGCATTGTTATAGAATTTCAGTGTATTGGACTTCCTTTTTTTATAGCAAATTATTTTGTCAAATTCTCATAAACCTATCCTAAATGGTCAACGCAGTGATTATTCGGGCATTGAACCAAGAACGCGTCGTAAAAACGCCACTTGTTTATATCCATTAAAATAATTAATTTACTTTTTAAACTTTATACTGTAAAAATAACCTCTTTTCTTATATTCACCGTTCGAAATAATGTTTTCGGTTTTATTTTGGGGGATCACGTGGCTAAGTGGGTAAGACACTGGCTCACTAGCCTGGAGGTCGGGTGTTCGAGAAAGTTCATTCAGATTTTCCGGCGTGGTTTCCCCTTGTCAGTGATGCAGGATGGAGGGCCTGACAAGGACAGCTGTCTAGTCGTTCGGATGGGACCAAAAACCGATGTCCCGTGTACACATTGGCGTGCACGTAAAAGATCCCTTGGCAGTTGGAATTGGAAGACAAAGTATGACAGGCACGAAGTCCGTCAAGAAACAGTTTTTCTAGCCATTCGTTGTTATAAAACTGGGGCCCTTGGGGTGTAGGCTAGGATACGTGAAGGAACCCCTGGCCTGTCACTTAAAATTATCCGGCTCCCTTTCAGGCCCGTAGCCAGCTTGCTGGATGCGGAGTGGCAATGATCGATGGTTTTAGGGGCGGGGGGGGGGGGGGTGGCACAGTCTACAGTACTATATATATAGGTATTGTTTTTAATTAGAGCTAGCTAGGGTCGACAACTTTTTTTTCGTGGGGGACAATACATTTTTTCAGGGGGAACATTTTCTATTTCAATTTCCTGTGTTGGATCGATCCACATGGAACTTCCTACTTTCTATTAGTATAGGGTTAGGGTTAGGTATTTAAGATTAAAACCTATAAATTCAGGGTTAGGTGTTTGGTGCATAAATGTGGGCCTTTAAACTTGGTTTTATTTTATTTTCTATGTATGCTATATTTAATTTCCCGGTTGCCCCATTGTAAGCCCACCCTACAGCAGTGGCGTCGTGCCCATTGCCCCCCCCCCCAAAAAAAAAAAATTCTCAGTGAAATAAAAATATTTTTATTGATATTATTAAGACAGAAGACCTGTCCGTCTGTTTTAGTCATCACATGGTCTCCAGGAATTGTATAATTTGTCATTATCCGTGTTTAGTTTATTGCACTTTAGTTTAGATATCATTTGTTAAGGCCTCGCCATAGAGCTATATTTCTATATAACTCGCTTCGTACACTCTATCATTTAGCCTCGATCTAAATTTTCCGGGAGTATGACGTCAACGTAACGGTTAATCTCCGCTCACGTCGCCATTTACAAATTTAATCAATCAATGAAATCCTGTTTAAATCCAAGCCGAATCCAAGCCATCCGGGGGTTTACGTACAGAGTTGATTTTGTGTTTGTTGGGTAAATTCCTATTTATGATTGTATGTTGTATTTGATAAAATATCCATATACGGGTGTCAAAAATAAAGACTGAAAGTATTTTTTATTAAAATACAAATACATCTAAATACGTATTTGACCATGCATGAAGTTGTTCGAAATGTCCATTCAATAATTAAATCGAAGTTGAGATGAATAAAATATAATTCAGTTTTCGAGTGATAAATTACAATTATCACTAAAAAAACGACCCCGTAACCCCCTTGCATGCTCATGCCTACTGCATTCGATGTGGGCGGCGCTACCGCCAACATTCTCCGCAGCCAGTAAATTTAATTTACCATGAACACACTTGCAGAAAGTTGGGCCCCCCCTAAACAAATTTTTTGCACGACGCCCCTGCCCTACAGTATGAGTATGTAGAGCTTATTAAATCTATTCAACTCGAACTCGGCTTTCCGGTGTGGCCTATAAATGATGAATAATTATTATTATTTAACAGAAATACGCCTTCGGACATATCATGCCCTGCCTACATTATATAACGTACATTTATTAATTAATTTTATATAATTTGGCAGCAATGAAGATTATAGACTTGTTAAATTCTTTCAACCGAGTAGTTTACATGGCTTAGCCATTTATGGTGATTCAATCGCTGAGAAATAGTTCAGTAGTGCGCATGCGTTGAATCATATTTCCGTCTCCGCGTAGGAAGCTTTAGGGCGTTAAAGTTTCTGTAGTAAACCACTCATCACCGAAAATTGATGCTTTTACGAGTAAAATAATTAACAATAAGTAACCGTGAGTATACCTAAATGAATTACTATTCATGTATATTATTTTTCTCACCAAAATACAAACTTCTATTGATAAACTTCTGAAAACGAAGACGCCGACTCCAACTAAGCGTTCGTGTTTTTCTCGATCAAGTAAGTCACTCGTAGCTTTTGGAAACTCGTGACAAAAGAACCAAGCAGCCAACAGAAGTACCGTTAAGAACAATAACATCTAGTCGTTATACCAAGGCTTTTAGCTATATTATTTTCATAGATATAATTTAAATAAAACTTCCTTTTTTTATATTTTTGACAGATGGCGTGGACTATGAGAAATAGTAAATTTCGCCATGTATTTGGAAAACCTTTAAAAAGAGACCAGTGTTATGACAACATCAGAATCAGCCGTTCATCCTGGGAAGCCCCCTATTGTGATGTCAACCCTAAATATGTGGCAGTGGTGACAGATGCTGCTGGGGGAGGGTCATTCCTTGTTTTACCATTAGCAAAGGTTAGTGACCCATATATTATTAATTTGTAGGCCTACTGAAATGCATCATTGCATGATTCATAAGATTTTATTGCTGGTCTGGGAGTTTTGAACCCCATTCTATAGCTAAAGAAAGACGTTATCATGAATAAACATAAATGGATTTTAATTATTATTGAGTCCTGGGGAGTGTGTGGATATCATTTGATCAATTACTGTAGCCCATTAGTTTCTCACTTCCTAGTCACAGCTCAGTGTATACAAGGTCACAGGTCATGAGCTAATTGAATTAGTCATCATTAAGAGTTTACACCATGTTATAATGAATTGTAGAATATTAGTCAATAATAACACTTATGTTGACATAATTACATAGTATTTATCATTTTATTGCCAAAACCTAATCTACTTAAGAAATAAATATTTACATGTTTGGAAACCATTTTCGTTGCTAATGTGAAACTTAGTACTAGACCTCATTGATTTAGATCACAAATAAATTTATTGATGATTTTATGTTGCTGATCCTGTTCTAACAGTTTTCCGACAAAATAAATTTTTTACAGCCTAATCCACGCTATTAAAATGTACTCTTAATTGATTATTTAATTAAGAAAACCAAAATATTACGATTTTAATTCATAACCGATTTTCTAATTAGTCTAAATACCGGTACTAAACATAATTTAACTATTTTGATTTGCCTTTTAGAGATTAAATTTTCACAATATTATAGTCCTCAGGGGACTCGCTCGGCTTTGAGGGTATAAACCACTTTTCATGAAAGCCCTCCATATATGTGACTAAATTCTTAGTTAAATTGATATTAATCGTTTTTTTATCTGATTTGCGGAATAACAATTTTGGATTGTTCAAAATTTTATGTCGATAAAATTGAAACTTGAATATTAGTCAACATAATCATGTTGACAGCTTTAATTTCCTTTTCAAAAATTTATTTTGGTTCAATCAGAATCTCTGCTAGTTCATTAATTAGGAGGGTCCCGAATTCAATCAAGATGTTCGCAGAGAAATTTTCTCAGGATTTTCTGTTGTGGTCTCCTATTTGTTCGAATGACAATTGAAAAACCCTTTGAGTCGTTTCGATGTTAATGAAAAAGAATATCACATATGCATATATGTGTTGGTGTGTACAGTACATAAAAGAATATTTAATACAATGTGGTTCAAATTCAATGAGGAGAAGGGGGAACACTGCTAGCACTGCTGTGGCAAAATTGCACACTGCATGGCGTATGACCACTTGGTAAGTTAAACCGAGGTCTGGGTAATGAAGACGGGTATATGCTATACAGTGTGCTATGAGGGAAATTTTTGCCCAAGTAGCGACGCTACACCTAACTCTTATATCGCATTCCAACTGCCATGGGATCTTTTACGTGCACGCCATTGTGTACAAGGGACCTCGGTTTTTTGTCCCATCCGAACAACTAAGACAGCAGTTCTTCTCAGGTCCTCTGTCCTGCACCACTAACAAGGGGAAACCACTCTGAAAATCCCGATGCACTTTCTCGGCCATCACTGGAAGAAATCCTGCAGGTTTAGCCACCATGGCTATCTGATGAGACATTAAATCCCATTCCATTCAATGAATGAAGTAATTCAAACACCATGTTATCCGAGAAAGTTCCTCGGGATTTGTCATTGTAGATTCTCCATGTCTGTCATGTCATAGGTGCAGTACAGAGGACCTGGGCAGGAATGGCATGCTGTCTAGTTGTTCGGATGAGATAAAGAAAAAACCCCAACAAGATCCCATTTTCACATTGACACTCTTAATTAAGAACCATTGACAGTTGGAACGTACAGTGGATGTAAGAGCAATGAAAGATAAAAGCCAAGAGCCATTGCAGATTTCATCATACATGTAGGTCACGAGATGTAAAAAGGATTGTGGACCGTGCATGATTGTGGGTTAGCCCTCACCCTAATTCTCATCCTAACCATAACTCTATTTATATTTTGTGACTTATGGCGAAATCTGCAATGGCTCTTGGCTTTTAGCTCTAACCATGTAAGTGGCGATGCCACAGCAAGATTTCCCTGGTAGCAAACTGAATGGCATATGCACATCTTTATTAGTCTGGTAGTGTGCAGCTGTAGTAGTTTGTGGGGTTGGATGGCTGAATAGTTAGCATGTGCGCGCTGTATCATAAAATCTGTCATTAAATCAACTGGCGGGATTTCGATTCCTTGGTTGTAAGTGACAAGGAGTAGGGTCGCCTGTCCAACCTTGTGGGTTTTCTCCAGGTCCTCCGGATTCCTCTCACTGCTAAAGATCCCTACGCGGAAGCAAATTATGGAAATAAAATTAAACCATATGTTAGTCAAGAAATGACCTAGTTTGTGTCGAGTGGACGTTAAACTCCATCTCTCACTCTCTCTCCCTGTAGTAGTTTAAACTTCATTTCATAAATTTTGAATGTCTAAGGATTCTGTTTCTTTTTATTGATTAGTAATGCTGTAATACAATATTTATTCACTAGAAGCTTTTAACTACATTGATGTCTAGTAGGATCTTAACTGTCTTATACAGTATTCAGTTAGTCATAAATGTATTGTGACTCATTATACTAATCCCATTAACTTCAATTGAGAAGAGGGAATAAAATAAACATGTACATGTATCTATCTCTGTGTAAAAGTGATCGTTTGTTTGCTATAAGAAACCAAATAGTTGAACTTATAAATTTATAATACCTCATAATGACCGTTTTTTGTAAAAAATTTAATGTATTTGTTTAAAGATCCATTCCCACCAAAGTATTTAATGGTACTTATTTCTTAATATATGCATTATGTAAGAGCTAAATCTGCCTATTGCCGGTCTTTAATACCTCCTAAGAAATTTCATGTATTTGGTGTGCACAGTGTATAAATGTATAGGGTAGTTATTTCTACTAAAAGTAGCGGGGATCGTGGGGTCTAGTGGTTTAACGCGTGCGTGTGAAAACACAAGATCTGTCAGTGCATCAAATGGTGTGATTTCGATTTCCCACTTGAACGTGACAAGGAGTAGGGTTGCCTGTCCAACCTAGTGGGTTTTCTCTGGGTCCTCTGGTTTCGTCCCACTATCTAGAACACCTAGGCTACGTGTAAGCGAATTATTGAAATAAAACTGAACCATATGTTAGTCAGTCTCGAAATGAACTATTTTGTGTCGAGTGGACGTTAAACCCATTTCGTCCTGCTCTCCAGTAAATGTATGTCAATTTTGGTACATATGGAAAGTAGAGACACTCAATCTTACTAGGAAAATACTGGATTTTCCGAAAAACACCCATGGGGAGCCCACAGCACAAAAATGTAAGGGTGTAACTAACTTGCGCCCTGTCTGCTTGAGTGACGTAAAGAGCTCTTTGTATGCAGGAAAGCATTTTTTTATACTTTATTTATGATTAACTAGATGCTAGTTCAGTACACCCTGACATAGACATGATCATGTTATTGTTTTTCCAGCAAATAATTCTTGTCTTAATTCATTTATTACATGTACCAGATCATATTCCATCAATTGGTAATGTGTATTCACATGTACACTGGTAGAAGAAATCGAAAATTAATCACTTATCTGCACTCTTTTGTACTGTATGAATTAAAATAGAAAATGTGGTATAGTTGATGGTTTCAGCTCTAGGTTGTTAATCCATTATGGGAGTGTGGATGGTCAAATAGTTAGCATGTGCGCGTTGTATCATGAGATCTGTCAATGAGTCAACTGGCGTGGTTTTGATTCCCTGGTTGTACATGACAAGGTGTAGGGTCGCCGTCTAACCTCATGGGTTTTCTCCGAGGCATCCCGTTTCCTGCCACTGCTAAAGATCTCTACGTGCAAGCGAATTATTGAAATAAAATTGAACCATATGTTAGTCCCAAAATGACCTGGTTTGTGTGGAGTGGCCGTTGAACCCCATCTCTCTCTCTCTCTCTCTCTCTCTCTCTCTCTCTCTCTGTTAATCCATTTTGAAACAAACCCTGATAGAGGTCAGAATTGAGTCACAAGATGTTGTTAACTTCAGGAAATAGACATTAAGCTTCCATATCCTTTTATATAAACAGACTTGAATAAAAAACATTTTTTGATAATTTGTTATACATGTGGGTTTGACGTCTGGCACACTAACCTGGGGGTTGCAAGTTTGATCTTTGTGTTAGTCGAGAAAGTTCCTCAGGATTTTTCAGCTTGGTTTCCCCTTGTCAGTGGGACAGAGGACTGAGGGTCTGGCTACGAACAGGGTGTTATTGCTTGAATGGGACAAAATATTGAGAGGCCTTGGCATGCAAGTAAAAAGAACCCTTGACAGTTGGAATTCGATATATAAGAATAGGCAGTAGCACTGCTGTTCGGGCAAAATTCCCTCATAACACACTGCATGGCAGTTGCATGTTTTCATTAATCCAGTCGGAGCAGAACAGTAGGACGTTAAACCCCATTTCATTTCTTTTACCTCTAGTTTACAAATATTCTGTCCAGGCTAATTTCCCTCATAGCGCACTGTATGGCAGTTGCCTGTCTTCATTAGCCCAGTCGGAGCAGAACAGTAGGACGTTAAACCCCATTTCATTTTCCTCTAGTTTACAAATATTCTGTCCAGGCTAATTTCCATCATAGCACACTGTATGGCAGTTGCCTGTCTTCATTAGCCCAGTCGGAGCAGAACAGTAGGATATTAAACTCCATTTCATTTCATTTGGTGCAGAACAGTAGGATATTAAGCCTTTTTCATTCCATTGCATTCTATAGCTATGCTAACAATTGAACCTGCTACACTAAAACTACTAAAAAAATCATGGTTATAAATAGACTAGTGTATACAGTATTCGATATATAAATAATCTACATCAGTTAGTAGTTCTATAAATAGAAGACTTACAGACAATTATAGAATTAAACATTTCAACATATCTTTCTTCTTATTAATCACTTGTTTACTACTAGATAGTTTGATGTAAACAAAATATATTAGTAGATGTCTCCAGAAATATGTTGTTTTCTATTTAGAGTTGGTTGGGTTCCATGTCAGTCACAAGAACAAATTAGATGATTTTGTTTTATTTTAAATGATTTTTATAATTTTCAAACAAAGATTTGGTATTGAATGAATGTGAAAGAAATAAATGCTAAATACACAAGATTAAATAATACCCAGGTTACAGTGTATATTCTTAGCTATTAAATCATTTAAGACATTCACCTGGGCAACTCTGAGCTGCGTAACTAAGCAGGTACATGTACATACATGTATTTTTAATTTTTCTTACCTTTTAATACGCCCACTTGTGGAAATGTAATCGTGTATTGTCGTCAACCTGTTGGGTCAATCGAGGGGTTGGATGGCCGAATGGTTAGCGCGTGCGCGTTGTATCATAAGCTCTGTCATTGAATCAACTGGCGTGGTTTCGATTCCCCGGTTGTATGTGACAAGGAGTAGGGTAGGCTGTCCAGCCTCGTCGGTTTTCTCCGGGTCCTCTGGGTTCCTCCCACTGGTAAAGACCCCTACGCACAAGGGAATTATTGAAATAAGATTAAACCATATGTTAGTCCCGAAATGACCTGGTTTGTGTCGAGTTGACGTTAAACCCCATTTCTCTCTCTGTCTGTCGGTCAATTGATCCGTAGTCTGCCATTTCTTGTAAACACTCTATGTACAGACTACATTTATCATCCGATCTTTTTAAAATTGATATATGTTGTTTACATTAGTGAAATGAAGAATCCTATTGAATTTCAACAATTTTTGTCCAGAGTTATGACTCTTGTTTTATTGGGGGCCACGGTGGGTAAGACGCTGGCTCTCTAGCCTGGAGGTCGCGCGTTCAATCCCTGCTTTGGCCGAGAAAGTTCATCAGGATGTTTCGACGTGGTTTCCCCTTGTCAGTGATGCAGGATGGAGGGCCTGACAAGGACAGCTGTCAAGTTGTTCTGATGGGACGAAAACAAAGGTCCCATGTACACATTGGCGTGCAGGTAAAAGATCCCTTGACAATTGGAATTCGATATAAGAGTAGGCTGTAGTGCCGTTGTCCAGGCAAAATTTTCCTCATAGCACAATGTGTGGCGTTTGCCTGTTCATTAGCCCATTTCAGAGCAGAACAGTAGGACTTTGAATCCCATTTCATTTCATTTTCTTGCTCTACTTTTGGAATTCGAAAAACAAGTACATGTAGGCCGTAGCGCCACTGTCCGGGCAAAATGTCCCTCATGTTATTATATCACACTTCTGGAGCCCATTTCATTGCATTCATTTCCCCGGGTATTCTTAAAAAAATCTATCTCCATTAGCCCAGTTACCTTTAATTAATTTTTTTATATTTTAGGTAGGAAGAGTAGAAAGGGATGGACCCCTTGTTTGCGGTCACAAAGCTGCTGTATTAGATGTCGCCTGGTGTCCACACAATGATGATGTCATAGCCAGCGCCAGCGAAGATTGTACAGTTAAAGTCTGGCAGATTCCTGAAGGTGGTTTAACATTAAGCCTCACTGAACCCATTGTCGATTTATTTGCCCATCAAAAACGTGTAGGACAAGTGGTCTGGCATCCCTCGGCTATGAATATACTTGTCAGTTCTGGTAAGTATTAATAGAAAGTAAGAATTTGAGTCGATTGTTTATTTTGTTTTAGGAGCCATAGTGGCTCAAGGAGTAAGATGTTAGCCTGCTAACCTGGAGGTCTCATGTTCGATCCTGGTGTTAGTTGAGAAAATTCGACAGGCGACCCTACTCCTTGTCACGTACTTTTGTTAAAAGGGAACATCAAGCCTTTGTTTATTATTGTTAGCAATGGGACTTGACAATCAAAGACTATTTACGCTACATGTACATGTATTTCTTGTCAAAACTTTGAACATTTGTAATTTTGCTGAGAATAAAGTAATTTGATGTCTTCTCAAGCCAGTACTGTGGAATACTCCGTAAAAGATCCCTTGACAGTTGGAATTCGATATAAGAGTAGGCCGTAGTGCCGCTGTCCAGGCAAAATTTCCCTCATAGCACACTGTATGGCATATACCCGTCTTCATTAGCCCAGTTCGGAGCGGGGGGTTGGATGCCTGAATTGTTAGCATGTGCGCGCTGTATCATAAAGTTTGTCATTGAGTCAACTGGCATGGTTTCGAATCCCTGGTTGTACATGTACGTGACAAGGAGTAGGGTCGCCTGTCCAACCTCTTGGGTTTTCTCCAGGTCCTCCGGTTTCCTCCCACTCTAAAGACCCCAATGCGAAAGCAAATTATAGAAATAAAATTGAACCATGTGTTAGTCCCGAAATGACCTAGTTTGTGTTGAGTGGACGTTAAACCCCATTTCTCTCTCTCTCTCCAGTTTGGAGCAAAACAGTAGGACATTAAACCCCATTTCATTTCTAACAATTCAAATTGAACGACAGACGTTTACGTCTTCCTGGTCCATTTTACATGTTTTTTATTTTTTTTTTGTTGTTTGTGAATTAGCCATTACTACATCATGTAACTACATGTACTCCTGCATTGTCTTGTGGCATATGTTTTTCTTTGTTAATTACAAAGTACATGAGTCGTGTTACTGATTTTAAAATGTTCATAGTGTCTTTCTTGTACATGTAGCATATGTTTTTCTTTGTTCATTACAATTGGTACCCAAAACCATAAAGTACACGGCTTGTGTTACTGATTTTAAGATGTTTATAGTGTCTTAAATATTGGATATTACTATTAGGATCCCATATTTGCAGGGCACCTTAACACCATAAATAGGGAAAGAAATAGACCAATATTAAATTCTAATGCACGTTTTTAATTTCCAATATTATAGCAAATATTGAGTTAAAGGTCGAGTTCCTTTAACTTGGGTGTGGGGAGTGGATGGCCGAATGGGTCAGCTGGCAAGGTTTTGATTCCCCGGTTATACGTGACAAGGAGTAGAGTTGCCTGTCCAACCTTGTGGGTTTTGCCCGGGTTCCCTGAGAACCCCTACACGCTAGCGATTTATTAAAATAAAATTGAACCATGTTAGTTTCGAAATGACCTAGTTTGTATCAAGTGGACGTTAAACCCTATTTCTCTCTCTTTCTCTCCTTTAAATTGAATCATCTGTAATTTCTTTTGACAGGTTCCGATAATATGATATTTGTGTGGAATGTTGGGACAGGGGAGCCGTTAGTTCAGGTTTCGATGCCAGACTTACCTCTGTGTGTCTCTTTTAACTATGATGGTAGTAAATTAGCAGCAACATGTAAAGATAAAAAATTACGAGTCATAGATCCAAGAACAGGTGATTTCTTACAGGTGAGATTTATATAGATTTAGGAGGGGGATGAATTCTAACAGGTGAGATTTATTATATAGATTTATAGGGCGGGGGGATTCTTATAGGTGAGATTTACATATAGATTTAGGAGGGGGGTGAATTCTTACAGGTGAGATTTATATAGATTTATGAGGCGGTGTGGGTGAATTCTTATTTATATAGATTTAGGAGGAGGGGGGAATTCTTACAGGTGAAATTTATATAGATTTATAGGGGGTTGGATGGCCAAATGGTTAGCATGCACGTGCTGTATCATAAGGCCTGTCATTGAGTCAACTGGCGTGGTTTCGAATCCCCGGTTGTACGTGACAAGGAGTATAGTCACCTGTCCGACCTCATGGGTTTTCTTCGGGTCTTTCGGTTTCCTCCCACTGCTAAAGACCCCTACGCGCAAGCGAATTATTGAAAATAAAAATAAACTGTGTTAGTCCCGAAATGACCTAGTTTGTGTCGATTGGACGTTCAACCCCATTTGTCTCTCTCTATATATAAATAGATTTAGGAGGGGGATGAATTCTTACAGGTGAGATTTATATAGATTTAGGAGGGGGATGAATTCTTACAGGTGAGATTTATATAGATTTAGGATGGGGGTGAAATCTTACAGGTGAGATTTATATAGATTTAGGAGGGGGATGAATTCTTACAGGTGAGATTTATATAGATTTAGGATGGGGGTGAATTCTTACAGGTGAGATTTATATAGATTTAGGAGGGGGATGAATTCTTACAGGTGAGATTTATATAGATTTAGGATGGGGGTGAAATCTTACAGGTGAGATTTATATAGATTTAGGATGGGGGTGAAATCTTACAGGTGAGATTTATATAGATTTAGGATGGGGATGAATTCTTACAGGTGAGATTTATATAGATTTAGGAGGAGGGGCGGGCGCGAATGCTGTAACTTGTGTGCTTTAAATCATAGGACTGTCATTGAGTCAAATACATGTATATTTGGTTTCGTCACCTGTCCAATTTAGTGTTTTTTTCTAGGGCCCCTGTGTCCTCCCACTACTAAAGACTCCTATGCATTACCAAATTATTGAAATAAAATTAAACTGTATGTTAGTCCCAAAATGACCTAGTTTGTGTTGAGTTGACCTTAAACCCTCTCTCTCTCTCTAACCACCAGCTACTACATTGTACTACAGGAACCAAGTACGTTATGTAAACATATTTGGTCCAGTGTGGAGCTATGTTTAAAGCGTAATCAAATTGTTACGCAGTTAGCTATTGGTTGTTAATCTGACTATTGACCAGTCATAATTTGGAACAGAAATTTGCTTCTATTAAAGCAGTGTTTAGTGGGATTAGCTCTAATCAAATGAAACACTGCGGGGAGTATGGTCTTTTCTAAGATTTCTTTTTTGACGAACAGGAGACGTAAAAATGATGAACACCATTTCTCCCTCTTACGGACAATTCTCTTATGTCTACAATAGCCCGGTTGGTGCAGAAAAGTAGGACGTTAAGCATTTTAATTCTAATATTATCATGTCAATTATAATATTATTGTATTAATTCTAAGATTATTGTATTCATTCTTACATTATTGTATTAATTGTGTGTTTTCAGGAAACATCGTGTCATCCAGGTGCCAAACCCGCCCGTTGTGTTTATTTGAAAAATGGGATCATATTAACAACAGGTTTCTCTAAGATGAGTGAAAGACAATATGCCATATGGGATGAGGTAATAATCTTTTGTAAAATCAGAAATCAGCAACCTATTAAAAATATTATGCAAGAGTTAAATCTGCCAATTGCAGGTCTTTCTTTAGGTCTGAAATGTTATCTAAATGATTAATTAGACATTAATTAACTTATCAAGACCATAATCAACTCTCGATGGCATCGCTAGCCTGCGATATTTACTAGATTATGATCCCATTTGCTGCTCGACTTCCATTCATAATTTAATCAAGAAATGGATGATCGAGACTGTGTTTTTTATCGTACAGACTTTAGTAATGATGATCGAGGCTAGGCCGAAATTTCAATGGCTTAATTCTCGGGACATAGTGGATCAATTTGACTGAAATTTTCAGCAAATTCCCTTTTACATTATCTAGTTTTTATACGCCCACATTGAAATGTGGTCGTATATTGTCGTCGCCCCCGTCCGGCCGGTGGTCCGGCATCCACAATTGCTTGTGAGCGCTCTAGAGGCTAAAGTTAATATCTGATTGACTTTAAATTTATACACAGTGTTTAAGGTCTTGAAACGAAGAAGCCTATTAATTTTCAGCGATTTCCGATAATTACTGCCAGATTTATGGCCCTTGATCACTTTGAAAAATCTTGTGGACGCTCTAGAGGCCAAAGTTAATATCCAATTGACCTTAAATTTATACACAGTGTTTGAGGCCATGAGACGAAGAAGCCTATTGATTTTCAACGATTTCCGATAATTACTGCCAGAGTTATGGCCCTTGATCACTTCAAAAAATCTTGTGGATGCTCTAGAGGCTAAAGTTAATATCCGATTGAGTTCAAATTTATACACAGTGTTTGAGGTCATGAGACGAAGATTCCTATTGATTTTCAACGATTTCGGATAATTACTGCCAAAGTTATGGCCCTTGATCACTTTGCAAAATCTTGTGATGCTCTAAAGGCTAAAGTTATAATCCGATTGACTTCAGATTGATACACAGAGTTTAAGATCTTGAGACGAACAAGTATATTGATTTTCAATGAATTTTTATGACTTGAACAGTTAAATCCATGATATTAAAAGCTTTGCATACAAAACGTTAGCACGGGGCAGAACTTTATAAAAACCAAACAAATGCTAATAGTTTTCTGATAATTACTTGGTGAGTTGTTGCTCTTAATCAGATTTTAGTGTATTATAAATGTTTCATTACCGAAAAAAGTAAAAATATGCGACAACCCTTGTTGAATGCCCGGACGATTTAGTTGCTGTGGGCGTATGTTTCGTTGCCTGGCAACCTATCTTTAACTATTATAGTGAGAACTGCCAGCTCTTTATGTATCTCCCATAATGTATCTTTAATATGTTAAATGTGATCACAAGGGAACCTATTCTGAGGATGGGGGATAGGTGGTCTGTCATTGATTTAAGTGGCGTGATTTCGATACACAGCTTGTATGTGACATAGGTAAAATCACAATGTCTGTCATTGAGTCAAGTGGCGTGGTTTCAAATCCTTGTCTGTTGCAGTGAGTTCTTGGTGTGCATCTCATGCCAAAAGCTCGCCGTAATAGACCGCTTCATTGGCTTATCCCTCACTTCAACCATAACGCCGGTAATATAACAACTCTTCCAAATCCTAGTAGTAAAGGCAAGTAAAACGAAAATTTGAACTATAAAAAACGAAACGAAATAGGATCTGTGTGTTAATCAAATTGATTTTTAGAAACAAAAAATAAAACTTATCCGATTTGTTAAAGTGCACATAAGATGGTCCCGAAAACTTTGAGATACGTGTAGCCAATGGTTACTATATCCACTTTACGGCAAGTTCACGCTAATTTGGTTGAAATTAATTCAGTTATCTTCACTTGAAGTCTTAAAAATAGACCTTCCGTAAAAACGGCTTTGCCAATTATCGAAAACACTCTTAATCCCCTTAGACGCCAGTGACGTCACAGTGACCGAATGCATATTCGGAATGTTTATTCCTTAATTACCTATATACAGCCGGCGTGTGTATTCTTTAAAGCCTAAAGGATTCCTTAATCCCCCAATTAAATAAAACAATTGACTACGGAATAATTTGTTTTGTAATTCATTTTAATTTAAGATCCAATTTAGAGTGCCTACAACTTTTAAACTTTGAAGTCCTGAACCCTTAATTAATTTTTTACAATATGGAGCTTATTGGACGAACACTTTTAATATGTAAATAATATACGGGTCCAGCTATGTGTTTTTTACTGCGAGCACTTCGCTTTTCCACATAAAGTGTAGTGTTGTTAATATCTGTCATTAATTAATCAATCCGACTATAAAAGTTATACAGGCATGGGTCATAAATTAATTTCAAGTTGGTGTTAGCAATGAGTGTTAGTGGGATTAAGAATGTTGATTGGGTAATTATCTCTTTTTACGCCGGCCAGATCAAAGACATCACTCTTAAGTGGAACGTGTGCGTAATACCTCACGAACGAACTAATGGTAGAATCATACACACACACATGAATTGTATAAAATAATTAAGTTTTACTAATAAGTTGTTTAAAATTACTATAGACCCAATAATTATTACTCAATGGTGCTTTTATAATCAAGTAGCCTCGTATTATTTGTTGATTGGTGTTTAAACAACATTTAATTGATGGATGGATTAACGTTTTTGATACGATTAGGTTATAATGTCTAACATCGGTTATCTTCTTTATAATAAAAGTATTTTACAATTGCATCTCCTATTTTAACTTTCATTATGACAAAGTGAGAAGATGACCCGCCCTCTCTTCCCACGACAACGATTTTAAAACCATTTTTAAAACCGTGTTTTAAAGTGATTTTTAGATATACAAGAACTTTTAATTATTTTAAATCTGTTTTAAAGTGACATTTGGATTTACAAGAACTTTTTATTATTTAGTGTTTTTACCTAACTTCTATTTTTTATTTAAGTAAATAACTTAATTAAATCAACCTGTCCATAATATCATGCATTATGTATTGGAGGTTAAATTTGTAATAAACAACAACAACAGCATTGACAGTTTAATCACTCACCAAACGGCACCAGGAACTCCACGAATGATCCCGTGCAATTTTAGCGGCGAAGTTTAACCTCATTTACTACACCCGTAGTACATGATAATAAGATACCAAGCGTTGATGGCAGATAAATGAGTGCGATCTATTGTACATGTTATGCATAGTCATCGGAAAATTCCATATTCACTGTAGTTGTTCTTTATGTATAGAAATGGTTATTATTATTATATATATAGCTAATAATGAATATATCAACAAATGACTGGCACCATTTGTATTTCTGTACTTAAGTTTGGGATATCAAGTATTACGGGGTTATCCAAATTACCGGTAAATGCGCTAATTTCTTGAGTTATCTTCATTTGACACTTGGCCTATTTAAACAAAGGCAGCTTAAATTGATCTACGGCATGATACGGCATTTTAAATTCACTCTAAAATATTCCAATCACAAATGTCTAATCTATACCAATGAAAGACGATAATTCGGTGATTATGATTAGGCCAGTCACGTGGTAATTGGACCGTCAATAGACGCTTGTCCAGTTGCCGTGTGTACATACAGTGAGATATTGTATAGATAATGTATATCCTATGTGTAGTGCCTGTGACGTCACCAGCCAATCAACCGAATTAAGGTCGTAATTGAAAAATCGAAAAGCGTTTTGGCGAGTCGGATACTTAAACGTTAACAGCGGACTTAATTTTAATCAGATTGGTGTGAACTTGCCGTAAAGTTGATATAGTAACCTTGGGCTATACATACATGCAATTTAGATTTTTGATCTTACGTGGTCTTTAAAAGCAAACTGAGTATTTTGTTGTATTTTTAGAATCAATAATAAATCATGTACTATGCTTTATCTGCAGAACAATTTGGAGAAACCGATACAGTTAGACGGTATAGATAAGAGTAACGGAGTTATGTTCCCCTTTTACGACCCAGATACAGAAATGGTATATTTAATCGGAAAAGTGAGTTGTCATTTTTTTATTATTCCCCGTTTTATCATACGCCCGCACTTTGATGTTGTATATTGCTGACACTTTTGTCTTTCCTTTGGTGGGGGGTTGGATAGCCGAATGGTTAGCACGTGCGTGCTGCTTCATAAGGCCTGCCATTGAATCAACTGGCGTGGATTCGATTCCCCAGTTGTACGTGAAAAGGAGTAGGGTCGCCTGTACAACCTCGTGGGTTTTCTCCAGGTCCTCCAGTTTTCGCCTACTTCTGAAAATCCCATCGCGCAAGTGAATTATTGAAAAAAAATTAAACCATGTGTTAGTCCCGAAATTAATTAGTTTGTGTTGAGTGGTGGATGTTAAACCCTCCTCTCTCTCTCTCTCTCTCTCTCTCTCTCTCTCTCTCTCCTTTGGTTGGTTGTCTGTATTTACTATTGTCTGTCATCAGGCCACGAAATTTCAAATTTTGGCATAACCAGAAAAATGGTTGCGGGTTTATGCTCTGCGTAACCATTTTCTTTGGTTACGCCAGATGACCATTGCGTAACCAATTGGTTACATAAAATGGTTGCGCTGTTTTCATGTTTTATCCAGATTTAAATGGTGCTATTATTCATTTCCACTTGCAGTGAATGTATTTTTTAAAGAAATAACTTGACTAATTTTATTTTTAATATTATATTTTGAGGTTAAGTGTTTATGACTTGTCCCCATTTAGACAATAAAACATTAGAAAAAAAAATGTTCCACTTCACTAAATCCCTACATTTTAATAATTAGGGGATTCGGTTCCAAAATTTACTAAGGGATTTTCGTTTTTATATATCTGACCGTCAAAAACCAGGAATGGTAGCTACCACATTGTTTTCGGTCACTGATGCGTACTTCATATTACACTTGTCACTTGCAATAATTCATCCAAGCACGTAGCATGAGATAGCCTCACTCATAGGTAGCGACTGATTGACAAACAGTATTTATTATAAACCTCGGCACACTATACACAAAGACTCTAAAGGAAACAGAATAGTTTGATGTCATGAAATAATATTAAATTGACAGGAAAGTAAAATCGTTTTAAACATTATCGCTCGAGCGATGCCGGGGAGGGGGTCAAAGTTGACGACAGACATCAGGTCATTGGTACTACAGCATGGCTATAGTGAAAACCGAAAGGAACACGTGTAGTAAATTCTTTGGAAATATAGCCGACATGTTAAATGGTCAAACTCATTTCTCATTTTGTGTTTGAAAATCCAAAGGTACGCATTCAAATATTTATGGCATAACTAATCATTTAAAGAATTAGGAGTGAGGGGCATTTTTAAATAACGTGCTTCCAACTGGTCAATAGCCTACTTGGTGTCAAAATACGTGATCTGTCAAAGTACCGGTAAGATGGAGAAATGAAATGCCAAGAATGAATGAATGGAGTTTGTGCTATAATACATTTAATTTAGACCCGTGTCACAAAGTCATCCTGTATAAAAATTAATCAAATGTGAATAAATCTGTTAATGAAATTTGTTAATGTAACCGATATTTCAATTTGCGTAACCAGGAAATCGGTCGCGTGTTTTTGAGCTAGCGCGACCGCACGTAACCGATTGGTATCGTTCGCGTGAAATTCCTTGGCCTGTGTCATGCACACTCTACAAACTATTCTGGTTTAAGTCTTTATCTTTTCCCTTTTGATAGATTTAAGCAAGATGGCAGATTATCTAGCATTGATATTTTGAGTTTGTTTTCTTGGATTAAATGTTAAATAAACATTCTAGTGTTTATTATTTCGTGGGGGTCACGTGGCTATAAACATAAAAGGGGATCACGTGGCTAAGTGGGTAAGACGCTAGCTCGCTAGCCTGGAGGTCGGGTGTTCGATCCCTGCATTGGCCGAGAAAGTTCATCCAGATTTTCCGGCGTGGTTCTCCCTTGTCAGTGATGCAGGACGGAGGGGCCGACAAGGAAAGCTGTCTAGTCGTTCGGATGATACGAAAAAACGAGGTCCCGTGTACACATTGACGTGCAAGTAAAAAATCCCTTGGCAGTTGGAATTCGATATAAGAGTAGGCCGTAGTGCCGCTGCCCGGGCAAAATTTCCCTCATAGCACACTGTATGGCGTATGCCCGTCTTCATTAGCCCAGGTTAGGAGCAGAACAGTAGGACGTTAAACCCCATTTCATTTCATTTATTATTTCGTGGAAAATTTGATATTTTCTGAAAATTGCAAATACCTCACAAAGGCTTTAATCAATTTTGGTTGTCAGAGGGCCTGGCAAGGAACAACGTATAGTACCTCAGATGGGACAAAAAAAAAACCCCAACAGATCCCTGTGTAGATATTGGCATGCACGTAAAACAACCAACCCCCTGGCAGTTGGAATTTGAAACAAGAATGTCGCTGCCTAGACAAAATTTTGTCATAGCACACTGTATGGCGTATGTCCATCTTCATTATCCCAGTCGAAGCAGAACAGTAGGACGTTAAACCCCATTTCATTTCATATAATCAATCTTTGAATATTTGATTTAAATTTTAAATTATTTGGTGGTTTAAATTTTAAATTATTTGTTTAGAATTTTGAATTTTTGTTTAAATTTTTAAATGTTTTGTTTAGATTTTTCAATATTTTCTTTAATTTTTTCAATATTTTGTTTAAATTTTTGAATTTTTTTGTTTAAATTTTTGAGTATTTTGTTTATTTTTGTAGGGTGATACAATTATACGATACTATGAAATAGTTAAAGGTGATAATGGACCAGAAATGTTTTATCTTTCATTGTACCAAGCTTCAGATCCACAGAGAGGAATGGGTTTTATGACCAAGCGAGGTTTGAATGTCAATCAATGTGAAATAGCAAGGTAGATAACTCTATATTTTACACAAGGGTAAAAGGGGCATGCTCGATGGTCAGTCTGGATAGTTCTGAAATGACAGAATTGCCATCATGTGGAGGGATATGGGTCCTGTCACATTTCTGTCAGTCCTGACAACAGAGGTGGTGTGAGTAGAAACATGATATCATGAGATAGTTTCTTACGCTGTCGATGCATTGTCACTATTTTTGGACTTGAGAAAATTTAATTCTGAAACGCTCAATCGAGTATTCCCCTTATAAGACCATAGAAAACAAGTGAAGAGTCCAGGGGAAGAACGATCTAAGTCATATTTTTGTCTTTTCGAATAAAAGGAAAAACAGACTTTTGGACGAGAATGCTTGATGCAAACAGAACAACGAGTGGGTTTAATTACAACTTCAAAATGATGTTTAATAAGAATCATAATGACCTGTACAACAACTGACTTCCAGATTTCGGCCAAATTAAGGTCAAATAAATTGTGATGGACTTGTATTTGTATTTATACAATTTGCTACCAGATGGCACCATTAACTGAGGTTCGTTGAAAAAGTGACTTAGATCGTTCTTCCCCGAAGCCATCTTGGAACTGTAACGTATATCAAAAATCGAAGTCTGACAATTGATGTATGTGCAGTTGTCCAAGGAACTAACTTGTCTGTCTGTTAGGCTAAGCATAGATAAGTAATTTGATAGGTCAAGGCTTTGGGAGACAATAACTCCTAATTGGCTTAAAATGTTCAAACTTCATGTAGGTGTTTATTAGGTAAATACCTTGATGGAGTTCGAAGATAAACATACTCTGCTTAGGCTAATCAGAGATAAGCAAATTGATTGGTAGATGCTTTGGGATACAATGACTCTTATTCATATTTTTTTTTCACAGAATCTACAAATTACACAATTCAGGCCTCTGTGAAGTAATTCCATTTACAGTTCCAAGAAAGGTAATTAAGTTTAAATTTATAGATCGAAAACAGAATAATCAGAAATAAATGACACAAGCTATTTATCTTACAAGACTTCTTAATAACCGTGCATGGGAGGTTGGATGGCCGAATGGTTAGCGTGTGTACTTTGTATCATAAGGCCTGTCATTGAGTCCACTGGCATGGTTTCAATTCCCCGGTCGTACGCGATAAGGAGTAGGGTCGCCTGTCCAACCTCGTGGGTTTTTTCCGAGTCCTCCGGTTACCTCCCACTGCTAAAGACCCTTGCGCTCAAACGAATTATTGAAATAAAATTGAACCATATGTTAGTCCCGAAATGACCTAGTTTGTTTCGAGTTGACGTTAAACCCCAATTCTTTTTCTCTCTTATAACTCCAAGATCAACTTTGGTTTTATTCAGCAAAATCAGGCCCTAAGTTCACAAAGCATTCTCAGACTTAAGTTAAGAATTTACTCAAAATTGTTCGCCTTATTTTAACTAAAATATAGCCCATTATAAAATTTTTGTTGTTTTATTGTATCAAATATATGAATAAGAAACTATGTGTAAAGTTTTGTGTTTCTGGATCAAAGATATTTCTCATAAACAGTGATTAAAAGTTGAGCAAATTCTTAACTTAAGTCTGAGAATACTTGGTGAACTCTGGCCCAGGACCTCGAGCTGCCCTTATACCAAGCCTGTCGGACACCAGTTATCACACAAAGTCTGTGACCAAGAGCCTTATGTTTAGGCTTGCCTAGGGGGTTGGATGGCCGAATGGTTAGCACATGCACTCTGTATCATAAGGCCTGTCATTGTGTCAACTGGCGTGGTTTCGAATCCCCGGTTGTACGTGACAAGGATTAGGGTCGCCTGTCCAACCTCGTGGGTTTTTTCTGGGTCCTCCGGTTTCCTCCCACTGCTAAAGACCCCTACACGCAAGCGAATTATTGAAATAAAATTAAACCATATGTTAGTCCCAAAATGACCTAGTGGACGTTAAACCCCATCTCTCTCTCTCTTTCCCTCTGATTAAAATACAGATCTATATTTCGTTTCTTTTTTTTATACTTTCGATGGCCTACGCTACATGAAGTTCTGACCAGTTGTAGCGATAGGTCGCGTCAAAGGTCATACGAGCGGCTTTTGACCCTATGACGTCAGACATTTTTAACCAATCAGCTTTGATGTTACTAGTGGATTACCTACAGTTCCGTGCAAAACACACCTAAAGCTTGCCGTAACAGACCGTTTCATTGGCCATTCCCTCACATCATTCGGACACACATCAATGATAACAACTCTTCCAGATCCTAGTGTAGTAAAGACAAGTAAAACAAAATTTTTAACTATAAAAACGAAACGAAATAGGATCTGTGTTTTAATCAGATTGTATCAAATACGGCATTAACTTTTTTCTTTTTTTTTCAGTCTGATCTCTTTCAAGAGGATTTATATCCTGATACAGCAGCTGACATGCCGGCTATTTCTGCTGAAGAATGGTTTGCTGGTAAAAATGCTGACCCTATTTTGGTAATTATATAATACCATTAAATTCCTATTAAAAACAGGTGGGTTGGATGGCCAAATGGTTTAACTCGTGTGCGTACTACCACAAGGTGGCGTGGTTTCAATTCCCACGTGAGTTTTTTTCTCCATTTCTTCCAGTTTCCTCTCACAGCTTAAAGTTGCAATTTCATATTTTTAAGTTATATTTTTAAAATTTATTAAAATAAAGCCTTAAAATAGATGGTATCTATAAACAGTCCTACCTTGTTAAAGAATAATCCTATTACTCCTATAATTCACTATTGCCAGTTGAGAAATTGGCAAAAATATCATTTTTAACTTCAAATTCAAACGTTTGAAGATAGCTATTCCAGGGGGGGAATCGAAAAACATTTATAGCATGTTAGAAATCAGCCATTTTGTTTTTCACTTAATAATGCCATAGAAACATTCTTAGAAATTGTTTTACATTATTTTCACAGATTTCACTGAAAGACGGATATGCACCAAGTAAAAAAGAAGCGTTTAAAGTTGTGCGGAAGTCAAATGTTTTAGATAAAATGCCATCTCGGGCATCTGTCGGTGCCATTTTGTTTTTCACTTAATAATGCCATAGAAACATTCTTAGAAATTGTTTTACATTATTTTCACAGATTTCACTGAAAGACGGATATGCACCAAGTAAAAAAGAAGCGTTTAAAGTTGTGCGGAAGTCAAATGTTTTAGATAAAATGCCATCTCGGGCATCTGTCGGTGCCACTCCGGCTTCTGCTAATAATGAAGCTGCTGCAGCCACACCCGCTCTACCACCCGTAAGTATAATCACATATTTCTTTCTTGAATTTGAGTTGGTTTCAAGATGGCTGACAATGTCAAAATGTCATTGCTTGTTAATGATTAGAGAAGCCAAGTAGAATCTCAGTAATAAGCAGTAATTGTATTCTATAGAATTGATAATGACTAGAGAAGCCTAGTCGAAACGTCGCTCAGTAATAAGCAGTAATTGTATAGAATTGTGACCTGTATATTTAAGTTCAATAACTAAATGCCATTGAAACAATTTTTTCATTTGATTGCATTATTTTATTTTCTTCTCTTTTTAAATAATATATGGTGTGGTATTAACTTATTTGAACTTCTATATTAGGTCAAATTATATTATTTATATCCCCCGATTAATTCTTATATAGTGTGCAATATACATCTAATTATTTATTATTCAATTTCTCCATAACTAATTTCCCTTTTTAGAAATCTAAACATTTTGGTTATTTTGTGCCATTTTAAAATGTTGTCTGCCCAGATTGGACATGTTATGGTTTGATTTAGGGGAGGGGAGGGGCGTTTGGTCACACAAGTTCTATTTGTTAAAACCTCAATATTTTAGATTTCCAGTTTCAAACTTTTAAGATATGATTCTGTTCTTTAGAAAGAATATTTCTTGCAATAATGACCCCTTTTCTTGAATTTGACAAATACCTCCGGTTTCACTTATCTGACCCGTTTGTTTCAAAATGTACCAGAAATATGGAATTGACCTCGAATTCTGTCTGTGCAATCAGCATTTTAACTGGCCTTAATATTATTATACAAGTAGCTAATGTGATGAAGGGTCATTAAAACTGCGTCTGAAAAAAAAAAAAAAAAAGAAGAAAAAAAAAGCACACATTAGAATAGACTTAAGTTCTTTTTCTGAAAACAGGGGTTCGACCCACAAGGAATTCTAGATGATATGAGAAAACTCAAACTTATTGTCAAAGCTCACGAACGACGAATCAAAACTTTGGAAGAAAAGCTATCACAGTATGACACCAATTTAACAGACGAGGAAGAGACGGAGACAGTGTAATATACATGTATATATAGAAGTAGGCAAACACGTATTTTGACGTTGAGTTATAAAAATACTTGTTTCTAAAACCAGTTTATTTAATCCTAGCCTGCTTGGTTTTATATATTATTAATACTTGGATTGGTTGTAGTGGTCTATATGGACAGTGCTCAATTGCTTTGATATTGTTTTGAAACAATCTGATTTAAACACAGATCCTATTTTGTTTCATTTTTTTATGAAACGGTCTGTTTTTGCCATGAGGTGCATGGAACTGTGGGTAACCCACTAGCAACATAAACGTTGATTGGTTAACCAAATGTCTGACGTCATAGGATCAAAAGCGACCTTCCACTACATCAGTCAAATGTCTGCATCATAGGATCAAAAGTGACCTTCCACTACAACGGGTCAGATCTTCATGTAGTGGAGGCCATCGAAAGTTTAAAAAAATAAAAATGAAATATAGATCTGTATTTTAATCAGATTGGTTTTGAAAGGATGAGATAAATGATTTTGAACTTGAGGCTTGTATTTACGAGTCACGATTGTTCGCACACAAGAGACTCTTTAACAAGAGAATGTTACTGTCAGTAGAAATCGCTTAAAATCCCACAATAAAGGTCTTGACAGGTATTTCTCAAAGATAAATATGAAATTAATTAAAGGATAATATTGGTGTCAGTCATTATCATATATGTGATAGAACTGGTTAAACACATTTCAAATATAATTTTAACACAGAGATCATTGCCATGATAGATGCGTTATGAAGTTTTGAAGAAACGGAAGTGCCGAAATCAAAAGGAAAATCTTTATAACCCATCTATCGTGGCAATGACCTCTGTGTTAAAATTATATTTGGAATGTGTTTAACGACTGACAACAATATTGTCCTTTAATACTCACGAGAATTTTACCAGTGTTTCCCAACTAAGGGTCCACGAAGTCAAAGTAGTCCTCTGGTGAAGGTGGAGGAATACATGAAAAATAGATAACCAATTAAAATTCAGTATGATAATGTTGATATTCAAACAATGAATTTCAGTACATGATATCACATGAATAATAGCACACTGATTAGCAGTGAATTTTCGCTAGGACGCTGGATGACATCGATGCGACATAATTATAATGAGTCCCAAATATTAACTTTTTTCTTCCGTCAAATTAAATTCTAAAACATTTTTTTCATTTATTAGAAAAATAAATAAAGATGTTTGAATTGTTTGTAGGTAAAAAATCATTTCCTATTTAGTGTAAATGGGTATTAAAATAAGTAAAATTCACCATTTAGCCCGAATCAGTAATGTTGTATGTAAACAATGCACGCGCTATTGAGCCAATGATTGACGCCGCGTGATGTGACGTCACATGTCGAAACAGTCATCTGTAACATAGATATTAAAAGGTCTCTGTGAAACAGATTGGAATAATAGGAATGGCGATCATCTGGGATTTTGATCAGAATGGCTTTAAAGGTCGGCCACTTAAAGATTTTCAAAATTGGTGACCCGCGGACATGTTTCTAATGATGGGAAATCGGATCAAAGAGGATAAGTAAAGATGGTGGGCGGAGTCCTAAGAATTTTGTAAATGTTTCAAGGTGTCTAGGGAACCACTGGAATAAACAATAATAAATAGTCAAAGTATAATTTCTACCATACTCCTCGCAATGTTTCGTTTGATTATACCTAATCCCACTTAACACTGCTTTAATGAAAGCAAATTTCTGTTCCAAATTATGACTGGTCAATGGTCCGATTACAACCAATAGCTAAATGCGTTACAAAAGCATTACACTTAAAACAGAGCTCCAAATTGGACCAAAAATGTTTACATAACGTTATGTCATGACTCACGATTTTATTATGCCCAATTAACCAGTGCATAGCAGAATATTGCAGAAAAACTTATTGCGTGAAAAATGAGGCTATCAAATTGAAAACAATATAAACAATGCTGTTTGAAGACGAACATACTTTCACCGTTTTTAATACCTTAAATCACTGTCCAACGTTTATGGGAAGACCCAGATTAAATGAAGGACTGTCATGTTGCTGTACTTGGGATAGATTTGATTGAACGGGAAGAATAGACAAACTCCCTCAAAAGCTCAAGTATCAGAAGTCAATCCAGCAATGGCTAGAGAGGGATTTCTCGGGCCATTGCTTCAGGAGTATGAATTTATTCTATATTGGACTGGTAGTTAAGGCTATTAAGCACTGTCCTACTTTCACTTTGTGCTGGGGCTCTTGTTTTACTTGTTATTGCCAGTCTTCACTGACTGATTGTTAGGCATTTCAGACAATTTAATTACGTTATTGCTAAACTTTTGTCACATTCTATGTTCGTTAAAAGCTGACAAGATATTGAAACAAGAGCACCTCTTTGAATCCTATACAAATATTATAAAGGGTTAGAATTTGGTGTTTTTTATATTGTTCTATAACCTGTGTGAAAGTTTGATTATATATTCAATAATAATAATTGTTATATTTATCTGTTAACGCATTGACCCCATGACTTAATTAATTTATTACACCTGTATCTCCCTAAGCCAATTATCTGGACAATAGCTTATCTCCCTGGAGCTAATTAAAGGATTATCCATTAATCCCATACATTGCAGAGAACACAAAATATCCATTATATATTCAGTAATAATAATTGTTTTATTTGTCTGTTAAATTAATATTTAATTATTTCTGTGCTTGTTTGACAAAATAACCTCTTCTTGCAAAAAATTCTATACCTTTCTTACAGATGTAATCGAGGCCAGGTGGCCGAATGGTTTAAGGCGTGCGCGTTGGATCATAAGATCTTGTCATTAGGACAAGTGGCATGGTTTCATTTCTCTGCTTGTACGTGACAAGGAGTAGGGTCGCCTGTCCAACCTTGTGGGTTATCTCCCGGTCCTCTGGTTTCCTCCTGCTGCTAAAGACTCCTACGCGCAAGTGAATTATTGAAATAAAAATTGAACCATGTGTTAGTCCCGAATTGACCTCGAGGCTAGCGAGCCAGCGTCTTACCCACCATGACCCCCTGCTTAGATCATAAGGTCTGTCATTGAGTCAAATGGCATCGTTTCTATTCCCTACTTGTACGTGACAAGTAGTAGGGTTGCATGTCCAACCTTGTGTGTTTTTGCTGAAATCCACTGATTTAAACAAGAGATGTAAATAATTATAATAATAATAATAATCGTTTTCTATAGTGCTGAACATTCTGTCAGTCTAACTGCTCTATGGCGTGTTAACAATGTAAATATGATTATAAAAACATGTAAATACAAATAAACAAAAGAATACAAAAGAATAGTGAAATTACAATATACAAATGGAAAGTGAAGCATTTAAATTATAGTTCAAAGGTTTGGCTAGAAAAACAGGGTTTTTAGACGTCATTTAAATTTAGCCAAGTTTAGATTTAAAAACATTGGATGATAAATGGAAATTGTAGAGTGTTCACATTCAGTGTGGGTGTATAAAAAATAGATGTATGAATATAATTTTAAAAGTTTCCATGTGTTATCAAAACTGACCGACAGTCAAAATTAAGAACTGGAAGTCCTGCGGTCCATTCTTTTTAATATTCATTATTCGTTACCGATGAGTACCGGGTAATAATGTTTTGTGTGTGGAGTGTACTTATATATATGAAAGATATATTTGTCTTGAAGTGTGGATTTCGTTTGATTTAATAATATACTTGCTGTTATATATATATAGTTCTTGTGTTTGGTTTATTTTCAATTCGGTTTTGAATTGTCCCCTGCCTTTCAGAGAAAACTGGAGAGCTTTAAAATAGGTTCGACTGTCTGTCACAGCTTTTGGTACACAACATCTCTACTTCTCCTTGAGATGAAGCCGTGGTGACTCAGTGAGTAAGATGTTGGCGCGCTAAACTGGAGCTCCCATGTTCTGTCCCTGTGTTGGAAAAGTTCTTGGGATTTTCAATCATTCTTCCCCCATGTTATTGGTGGAGGATGAAGGGGAAGGGGGACTGGCAAGGGACAATGTTTAGTTCAGTGTAAAGATTGGAATTTAAGATAAGAGTAGGCTGTAGTGTCGCTGTCCGGGCAAGATTTTCGTCATAGCACAAAGTATGGCCCATGCCCATCTTCATTAGCTCAGTTGGTGCATTTCATTTCTTTTCTCTTTGAGGTAGAATGTTCAAACTTTGTGCTTCAAAACACTATCCCTCACCTTGTGATGCAGGACAGTCGTTCGGATGGTACGAAAAAACCGAGGTCCCGTGTACACATTGGCATGCACATGAAAGATCCTATGGCAGTTGGAATTCGATGCTTTGGAACACTTTAAATTCTAATTTAGTAATTCATGGAGAGTGTCAAGACTTGGTATATGTATATAATTTCATTGCATCAATAGCAGGAATACGTTCAATAATGAGCATCTGGGCCAATCTGAGACTTAAGTTAAGAATTTACAACTTTTAATCTTTGATACAGAAACACAAAAGTGTGCACACCGTTTCTTATTGATGTATTTGGTACATTAAAACAAAAAAAGTTTTATAAAGGGCTATATTTTAGTTAAAATAAAGCGAACCATTTTGTGTAAATTCTCAACTTAAGTTTAAGAATGTGTCGTGAACTTGGACCCTGTTATTTTAGGCTTAAGGCAGGGGACATCAACCTCACTGTTGGTTTGTTTTATATCTATAGAAGCATGCTTATTTAATTATTGACTATTTAATTAACAGTTGATTTTATTAATTAATTAATTAATTAATTAATCTCTTTATTATAATATATATTTCTTGAATTTATAATTTTTTTTAACTCTTGTTTAAAACCGCTGATCATCGTTTGCATTTTTTCAGACTATAACTTACTTATAGCTTGATTAGATTCCCTACTTGTACGTGACAAAGAGTAGGTTCGCCTGTCGAACCTTGTGGTTCTTTTGAGACTATAACTTACTATTAGCTTGATTAGATTCCCTGGTTGTATGTGACAAGGAGTAGGGTCGTCTGTCCAACATCTCAGGTTTTCTGCGGGCCCTCCGGTCTCCTCCCACGGCTAGAGACCTCTACGTGCAAGCGAATTATTGAAATAAAATTGAACCATATGTTAGTCCCGAAATGACCTAGTTTGTGTCAAGTGGAGGTTAAACCCCATTTTCCTCTCTCTTTGTCTTTTAGCTTGATTAACCCTGAAATGTACACAAGTTAATTGTTTGATATTTGTTAAAGAAATCAAAATCAAAATATCCGGCATGGATTTTATCGAATTAAATGGAGGCCCATCAAAAGTTTCTACCAAGCATCATGTTAAATATCTGCAGGATTATGCAAATTTTCCATATGAAGATGGGGGGTTGGATGGCCGAATGGTTAGCATGTGCGCGATGTATCATGAGGCCTGTCATTGAGTTAACTGACGTAGTTGTACGTGACAAGGAGTAGGGTTGCCTGTCCAACCTCGTGGGTTTTCTCTGGGTCCTCTGGTTTCCTCCCACTGCTAAAGACCCCTACACACAAGCGAATTATTGATGTTCAGGGGTTTTATATTTTAACATTTATTTGTTGCCTTGATTTGGCCCAAAATGCAGATTTGAAGGCTTAATTAATTTGTTTTTCTTTTTGTCTCATATATTTGTCCTCTTATTTTTATGAAGAATTAAATACGATTTTGTTTAATTATTTTCTTAAATCTGTGAATCTATGAATGAATAACTTTTCTATATTTGTGTTGTTTTAACCTTTTGTCAAGTTTATTATTCACATATCTTGTTTATTTTTCCAATTTCAGTTGCCTCAGAAAACCATAGACTTTCTAAAAGACGGATTTGATCCTGAAAAATTAGTAAAAGATTTAAAATCGCTTCAAGACACAGTAAAAAAACAGGATAAACGCATTCAACAATTAGAAGATAGGCTGGCCAAGTTGGAAGAACATACTGATGAAGAGGATATGCACGAAGACGAAAATTGTTAAAATTAATTCTGATTTGTAACACATCATAATCTTATGTATAGTCATTTTATAATCAGATATATAAAACTTTGTCTTAATTGTGGTCCTCGCATCACAGATAAGAATTAATTAATTTTGAATCAAGAAGACATATTAAATGTGTACTTAATTGTCACTTTCCCTTTAAGTTGTTTTTGAATGCAATATTTATTTATTTTTAAAAAAAAATTTTTTTTTATTTTTTACACTAAAACCCAATCTATGCAGTCAGGATTTCTTATAAGGCCATTGTAATCATGGCTGCCAACAGTTTTATTGTGGCGTTTTTGTGTAAAATAATAATATAAGGGTCCCACTCTAAACTGCACCTAAGGTATTTGGATTCGTGCTCCAATTCGCTGGACTGGGCCTCTTAATCGTGATTAACCTTATTTGGCTAGTCTGTGGTAACACCCTACGTTAGACCGTAGCTAGCAGATGAAGAAATACCAGGTGTTGTCAGTGTAGCAGATGCTATAATGAAGCCTTGGGGTAATTTATTTCTTGTGGAAACATTCGATAAAAGTTGTTTTTTTTGTTCAGGATGTGGAATTGGGAGCATTAGCCACAAAAATAGTAAAATTTGATAATAAAATTCAAGCAGGTGATTTTTCATAGTTTAGAACAGAATCTATTATATTCAAATATGTCAGGTCTTACTGGTGTCTTTTTTTTTTAAATGTGTCATAATATGTATATAACAACATTATATATATAACAATTGCCTCCCTTCGTTTGATTGGCTTAAACTTTCGTCCTGTCTGATAGGCGGATTATCTTCTCCTTCTAGGAAGTCCTTGCTGGGGATGCTCAATTGTCTGTCAGGAACGTTCCGAATTGACAGAATTACAATCGAGTGATGCAGAATTCTATTCTGTGAGTCCCGATAGTGGAGGTAGCGTGAGTAAAATCGTGATGTAATTAAACACATGTTTCAGCTGTCGTGATTGCTTGATATATTTTCGCATGCTGCCGCCAGAAATGCGCCATTTCAGACGATTGTCGCTATTTTTGAGATTGAGAATTCAATTCGGGAACGTTCAATCGAGTAGTCTTTTCCCTTAAAGATCAATACACAGGGGAAGATAACTCTAATCTATTGGAGAGAACTGTAAGTTAAAGAGGCGATGGATTAAATAGAAAGTAATTTGATTCGTCCTTGAAATGAATGGTATTGCTATTGGCAGCATTAAACGTTTATCTTCTTTCTTATTTTGTATAGTCATTTGATTTACTCTTGTTATTTTTTTTAATACCGGCACATCAGGTTGGAGAAATACCTGCAGGATTTAAAAATAATTCATCAACAGAGACAGTGTAGGAAATATGATTTAAGATTCATTATGTAAGATTTAGATAAAAAGCTGACCATTCTTGCTATAATAGTTATGTTAAAGATGCATTATGTAAGATTTAGATAAAGAGCTGACCATTTTTATTATAATAGTTATATTAAAGATACATTATGTAAGATTTAGTTAAAGATCTGGACTTTTTTGCTATGATAGTTATATTAACGATGTATTAACGATTTAGATAAAGAGCTGACCGTTCGTGTTATGATAGTTCAAAAATAGATGATGAAAAATAAATATATTGAAAATTTCATTCAAATTAATTTATCCTGGGCAGAGTTATGATGGTTTGAAAATGTGATGTGGATTGTTCATTATCATAGCAACGATACTTGACAAACGAGACTAAGTCTTGATTATCCATTTTATCATTAAATTTTTAAATCTCACAGGTGTTCAAATCCATTTTATTCTCGGACATCCGATGATATCGAGACTTATCATGTTAATAAATGTCTAAATAATAATTTTTATTTTATGATCAGTAGTGGAATAACGCGTTTTATCAGTGAAATAAAAGTGTTATTCCACTGGCTAGCAGTAGTCCATGTTGTTTTTACCTAAAATGATTGTAAAATCATAAAATAAAATAAAATTGTCGTGAATAAGAGATGAAATAAAATACGTTATTCACTCTAAAACGACAAATATCCTCTATATATAACATTTGAAGCCAAAATAAAAACCTGTAATACCTGCTCTACATAATATGCATCTATAATCTAAGCTAATGTTTTGAAATGAATTCTTGTTAAATTTTCATGCATATATAACATTTGAAGCCAAAAAGAAAGACCTGCAATAGTCAGATTTAGCTCTTACATAATGTATCCTTAAGAAGTCCAGCTTTAATTGTTCTTAATGTTTTTCTGAGTCCCATACAATGACATAAATTATCAGACATCAAATCATTTGAATGATTTCGGGAAATTCATTGTAATGTTATCTGTGCTGCTGTGCATTCTGTCGTCGAGGATTATTTGTGCTTTTTTAAGAAATATTTCGCCAAGGGAGGTAACTCTAGATTATATTTATTGCTGAAATTTCTGGTAGAGCTGAATTCTCCTATGATATATACATGTATTATTTAGAATTTTTGTATAATGGAAATAGAACAATTAATATGTTATTTATTTTCTTATAGCAGATTTAGAGACGTACAGTTTAATATTTGGTTATGTATGTAAGTTGTATAGGGTATCAATATCATTCATTTGGAAGCATGTAACATATATCACTATGATTTTATTCAGGCTAATATGAAGAAAATATAATATATATATTAAGATTTATTTATTAGTGTCTTAGAATTAATATTATTGAAATTTTTACCAAATTAATTCCTGTTCTTATCAGCTTTTCGTGAATCCATGGTTGTACGTGACAAGGAGTAGGATCGCAGGTCCAACCTCGTGGATTTTCTCTGGGTCCTCTGGTTTTCTCCCACTGCTAAAGACCCCTACGCACCAGCAAATTATTGAAATGAAATTAAACCATATGTTTGTCCCAAAATGACCTTGTTTGTGTCAAGTGGACATTAAACCTCATTTCTCTTTGTCTCTTTTCGTGACCCTTTATTAGGGTTTGAATATCAGTCGGAAAACCTAACAATGAATTCTTAGGCTAAATCAATTAATTGTTATTTCTTTACAGTCTCGATAAATAAATAGCCACTTGGTGAACAAATTTTTGAATAAACTTTCAAAACTTAAAAATCTGGGGGGAAAAGCCTTTGAAAAAAGTAATTTTTTTGTTTTGGAGTTATTTTGTTTTCCTCCCAAGAAATAGAAGCAAAATTAATTGTAATAGGTACTCCCACAAAGACTAGATGTTCAAATTGGTGTTGCCTTAATTTTAAGACTCCTTATAAGGAGATTTGCTTCAAACAAACAGATTGCTTACCTGTATGTTAAGAGCAATGATAATATTAAATACTGAGCTAAGAATTATAATATATATGAGCAATCTATCATTTTGTGTATTAACAACCCTGGAAATAATGGACTAGTAGAAGACATTATCAACTTTGTGTTGGACGTGTTAAAAATATTAATAAAAACATAGGTAAAAAAAACCCAAAATGACCGACACCTGGACAAAACCTGAATTTGCATCTGATAATGTCTGTGACATGTGTCTGACAGTATCTGTGACAGATGCCTGACAGTATCTGTGACAGGTGCCTTATTTCCAGGTTTGTGTATTACCAAATAATTACATATTTTAGGAGTATAATTGAAGGGGATAGAAGCTTTGATTAAAATTTGAATTATATTCAGGCATCACTATGATTGTTGTGGGTTTTCTCTGGGTATCCCAGTTTCCTCCAACTGCTAAAGAGCCCTTTGCGCAAGCGAATTGGGGGAGTTGGATGGCTGAATGGTTAGCGTGCGCGCGCTGTATCTTAAAGTCTGTCATTGAGTCGACTGGCGTGGTTTCGAATCCCCGGTTGTACGTGACAAGGAGTAGGGTCGCAGGTCCAACCTCGTGGGTTTTCTCCTGGTCCTCCGGTTTCCTCCCACTGCTAAAGACCCCTACGCGCAAGCAAATTATTGAAATAAAATTAAAACCATATGTTAGTCCCGAAATGACCTAGTTTGTGTCGAGTGGACGTTAAACCCCATTTCTGTCTGTCTGTCGCAAGCAAATTATTAAAATAAAATTGAACCATATGTTAGTCCCGAAATGACCTAGTTTGTGTTGAGTGGACGTTAAAACCCATTTCTCTCACTCTGATTGTTAATTCATTATAAGTTCAGTCCTTCAAGAAAATGTTCATAAGACCATATTATAAAAATTGTTGGCTTAAAATAAAAGTCTTGCCATTGTAAGAAATTAGAGATTGTTAGAGTTTTGACTCAGCTTCTACCCCCATCTATTTTACCTTCTAGGTCATTTCAGCTACCAATATTTGTAAAATTATATTATTATATCTTTGTTGTGTTAGATTTTTTTTTATTTAAGTCTACAGATATCATTTGTTATCCTGTCTTTTTTTTTTCTTTTTGCACGATGGTAGAAAGGGCTTTAGTTTTGCTTTAGTAATTGTTTTGTCATCTTGTATCATTGGGCCTATATTCATGGTAACCTGGTTACCAGGCTTAGCTTCACGGTAACCTGGTTACCGGACCTTGTTTCACGGTAACTTGGTCCTAGGCCTAGATTCACGGTAAACTGGAGGTTTTTGATAAACAAATAATTGAGAAGCCTGTGGTTACTCAGAATGGTCATGCAGAACATATTGAGGAACATGTTACATAATTCACCAATTGATGTACAATGTATAAATTATTTTTGTTATTTACCATTGTTAAAGTTATGAGGAGTTATTGCCCCTTGTTAAAGTTATGAGGAGTTTTGCCCCTTGTTAATTTTTTTCTTCTTTTTTAAAAAATTTAGTGACTTTGAAACAGACCTGTTCTATAGGTCTTTGTCGCCTTATTATGAATTATTATTAAACCCTTTTACCTGATTTCAATTCTTGTGACTCCACAGCTAAGCTAGCGGTTCACTAGTTAGGCCTATTCATGTAATAATTCACAGCAGATCAAACCTTGTAATTGATAAGGCAACCTAA